TGGCATGCTAATGAAAGGCTGGCATGTGACTGGCAGTGCATGTAGAATGTGCCTTCAGTCATGACTGGGCATATGTAGAATAGCTATACAGCCAAATATAAACCAGGCCTTTTGGGTTTCTATTGGAACGTTTTTACTTATACAAACATTTATGCTATGCTTTCCCCCTCTAGAACAGCTTATAAAAACAAGTGTATAGACAATCTTCCATAATGAACAGACAGTTAGCAGATTAAAAGCAGCTTCAAAGAGCAAAAACATAATGGCCAAAATAAACAATCAGTAAATTAAATTTGGCAACAACAGAATCAAGCTTATTGAAAGAGAAACATCGTCAACTGATAGTGGAACATAGGTTTTAGCAGCAGCACTCAGCACAACTGAGATTTGAATGGTTCTCATGGGCCACCCCACATTAAATGTGGCACAGGAATCCATGCAAGACGTACTGAATGTATGATCAAGTCTAGCTGAGCCAGGAGTGGGTGCTGCAGGCACACCAGTTAAAACTGGGCAAAAGCATGCTCAGCCACAGCTGACACTAGAAAATCTAATTTAAAAAACCTGGATCCAGGAAAACTCCTAACCTACTAACCTGACCATTTAAGGCAGGGTTGGGATGTACAGCCCTCCAAAAATTGTTGCGCTCCAATTGTAAACATGACTTCCTAACTATTAGATAGCTTGGAAACAGCTGACAGGGATTGCAATCCAGCAACATATGGAAGGTCACATGCTCCTCACCTGTTTTGAGCAGAGTATAACCCCATTTATGAGAGCCAGGCATTCTATCCCATACCAGGGAGGCTTCCAAACCAATTACACTCTTGCCATGTGCAGATCTAATTTCAGCATGTTTACCTTCTTCCAGACCATCCCTTGACACCAAAACCCAATTCAGAATCAATATGGCCTCCCTAGACTACAATGATAACAATATAAATCTAAGTATCACAGTAAACTGATAATCCCTCCTAGTAGTTTCATGCAGGTGTCCAATGCATAGATGACAAAACAAATTGCATGGAACCACACAGGCCAAGGAGTTGAGCACAACTATTCCAGGTACCACATTCTGAGCCCTTCTCCCAAGGAAGGACTAGAGCCACTGAAAGACTTTCCCCTCCAAGTCACAGAGGACAGAATGTATATGACTATCCATTATGAATACACATTTAAGCCATTAAATATTACCAGTGTTAGTTGAGCTGGCTGTTCTAATACAAACATCTTCACTCCACTCTCCACTTTTATCCAATCCTTCAATAAATGCTTGAGCTTTAAGACAATATTTTGTACCAGGATCCAAGTCAGATATTCTTTGAAAAGTATGATTTATACTCTCATTTCTAACCTAGGAGGAAAAAAACAAAACAAAATCATTATAACAATGAAACCTGCAACCCTATTTTCTTGTTGGATACAGGTAAGATTGCTAGTAAATGTATTTGTGATGATGGAACCTAAAGATATCTCAGCAATGTCGATCCATACTGATATAGCACCATGGAAACAATGGTAAAGCAGTAAAGAGGTTGATACTGAACTAATATTGCCAGTACATGGAACAAAAAGGGGAAGAGTTGGAAGTATGGTTTACACGAACTTGGCAGTTTTAACTTAGTTCACATCTACAACTGCTCTGTGATGCAATGCAATTTTATTTAATTCAGGAAAGAGATGGTCCCTCTTCTTCCCTCCCTTGCTTTCATTAGTTCAGTCATACTGCTCCTTAGATCTAGAACCGCCCCCCCCCACCCCAGAATCATAATATCCTCAAGTGTTTATAAATCCTTCCTTAAAACCCATGTTCCTTTGCACAGGTGCCCTTGAGCACCATTTACTTTTTTTGAAACTGCCTGATATTGGGCCTGCCATTCTTCCCACCCCCCATTTCTTCACTTAAATTGCCATCCTATGCCTGTGAGCCAGGTGGAGCCAAGTGGTTGTGACCTACATCCTGGGACATTTTGTTTTGTTTGTGCCACAGCCTGAGGATCCTATGAGCCAAGTGTATTCCTTCCGCTCCCAGCCAATGGCACAGAAAGAAAAGTGAGGAATCTTTGGGCTCTCTCTTTTGAGAGACATCTGACTTCCTGAGTGTTCTCCAGATTTCTGCAATACAGATCACAACCAGTAGCATACCTTTCTACTGATTTTCTAATTTTCTAGAAAACTTAGGACCCTGGGGATCAACGCTTAGCCTTCAGACACAAAACTCAGCAGAATTTTCTTGTCCTTGTGCATTTGTTGATGAAGAGATGTACATTCAGATACCAACATATCAAGCCAGATCCACAAAAGCTGGCAAGAATTACCTGCTCGCCACCATCTTTTTTCCATATTAGCAGCCTGTAAAGTATCGAACCATACAAATCCCGTAAGGAAGACTTGCTGCCATCACGTATAAAAAAGGGGTCAGTAAGCTGTACATTTAAGACCCCAGGTTTCGTGGTTCCAATCTGTACAGCAGGTGGCCCAATGTTTGCTAAACGAGGAATTGAAAAACAAGTGATAACTCGCATTTGTTACTCTGCTTTTGGATCCATTTAAACATATAGAATAGGCTGCAGCATGTATATAGCCTGTTTCTCTTCATGCCAGAGAGCAACAGCCAGTGAACCCCTTGTACACTGACTGACGATGACTGTGGTATGTATTGTAGCCTTCCTCAACCCAATGCCCTCTGAATGGCCATCACCACAGCTAGTCGGGGTGGGACAGCAGTTGCAATCCAGCGTATCTGGAGGCTACCACATCGGGGAAGGCTGATGGCTGTCAAGGGCTACTCCTATTTTCTAAGCAACTATTACCCAGCTAATTTAAAGCAGCACAAAATGTACTTCCCTTCACACATTATTTTTTGTGTCATGGAACAATTGAATGGAACAATTGCTGTGTTGTCCCCTGGCCTTGCCAAGAGCAGAAGCGTGTCATTTTTCAAAAATACCTCTTTTGAGATTATATGAGCTCAGCTTCCATCTCTGCTGACACTGAAGAGACAGACACTGTATCATTTATTAGATTTTCTTAAGCATGTATAATAATCTTGAATTTTGAAGCCTTAGTGGTATGTGCATTTATTGCTGCATTCCACCAAGCCACCATACAAGTAGCTTTCCTGTCATGACTACTCAACCCAGTTTCATCTCCATGACTTGGAATGGGTGCTTTGGACATTGGTAGTGGTCTGGAATCGTAGTCCATGTGTTCTTCCTTCTTCCTTTCAAGCTTTGCTATAGAGGATTGCCAGGAATACAATCTGTTTCATTAAACTAGAATTGGGCTGCATTTACTCTAATAGCATCTCAGCTATTTCTGGCTATTGCTTAGTGACAGGCTTGGTACCACTGAGAAGTAAAACCAGTAACTATGTTTTGAGTCAGACATGAAAATGTGAAAGATAATGTGTCTACCAGCTCACTGGCTTCAAAACATTTACTATGGGTTAATATTTATTTTACTAAAAATAAGAGGGAGGGAGGGAGGGAGGGAGGGAGATTTGAAAATGACTCTCCGAACAAATAGTTCTCTGCCTTCTGATCTAGTTTCAAGGTTGTGTAAACTCAGCAGGGTAATAATTTTCCTTGTGTTCACAGCATGGATCTGTGGGAGTGCCTGAATAGAAAGAAGTTTACAGAAACTTTGTGGATTGTTCTATGCAACATTGTAAGAACAAAAAGCATCGTCAGTAAATTGAATAAAATTATAAATTTTATGGAATCACCAATTTGGAATCTGTAAGTGTGAGCTCTGAAAACATATTACTAAAAAAGTAATTGGTTGAGGCAATCCAAATAAGTTACTTAAGGGCAATAAACAATAAAGCAATTCCAAAGGGCACAGCTTTTGGAAAGCTTCCCTGAAGCAGCACAGACAAAGGAGTAATGATTCTAGTAATGTGTCGGTCAGATCAAAGGATATCATGGGAAGCATCTTCATCTTCCATTGACAACATGGATATTTTGCTAACAAGCAAGGTATTCCCTTTCCAAAAGCATTTATTTAGCAGAGATAGGCTGTTTTATTTCTCTGAAGCTAAATATATTTGCCTTTTCAAATTTCCTATACTCAGATGCCTTACGAGGAGCCAATATGATGTAGTAGTTCGAGTGTTGGACTGGGACTTGAGAGATCTGGGTCTCCACTCAGTCATGAACCTCATTGGAAGACTCTGGGCCAGACTCTCAAGCTACTACACTTCGCAGGGTTGTTGCTGTGAGGATAAAATAGAGAGAGGGAAGCTGCCTTGGCTTCCTTGGAAAAGGAAGCAGTGTTGGGTATACATGCAATGTCACAACAACAATAATATACTTGGTAAGTGCAGAACATTTAAAACTCATTACTTCATATCTGAATTGAAGTTTGATTTTCACTGCCAAACATCTGATATTCAATATCTGATAGTAGTTGTTGGGTAATCAGGAGTATTTTATATTATTGACACTACTGATCCAGCAGGACAGAGAATCTAATCTGCTCCACTTGTATAAAGAAGTTGCACTTCTAAGTCATTCATTGAGGAGAGAAGGCAGAGGCTGGTAAATCCAAAGAGAAAAACAGATAGTAACTTTTCCCTTAATGATAACCCACGCAGAAGGGCAGTTTTGCCTATTTAAATAGCAAATTAGTTTGTGCAGCCCATTCCCCCTTGCTCAGCACCTCTTCCCACCTCTGCATTCACCTTTCCATCACTGAGGTTGCTGTAAAGGTCAGCCTGTTTTCATAGATCAGGCCCTGTGCGGTGAACCCAGCAGAGATTCCGAAAAATAACCATCTTAAGTCTACCTTCCCAATTCACCAAGAAACTTTGTGTCACAAGCATGACTAAATATGTGTCACACAAAGTCTTGGGCTCTTCAGAGGGTTAGTCACCTTAATCAGATCAGCTTCATTTTCCTAAGCATAAAATGCCACCTGCCCCCCTTAAGCAATGGTGTGTGAGTAAGGAAGGACGGTTCTCTAAACACTGTCTTGGCGCTCCTCTTATTCCCCATTTTTGTTCACAAATGCTGCTTTCTCAGCACAAACGGGAAACAGACTCAACTCAAGCAGCAATCAAAGATGAGGTTTGTGTAACTTCCCCAAAATTTGTGCAAATGTTATCTGTTCAGTCTAGAGAAGAAGTTTGCACAAATTAGGAGAAGTGTACAAATCAAACTGAGAATCAGGTACAAGGTAAATCTTGTTACTGGGCAGACATTTCTTTTCTTTACTTTTCTCAAGGGCATTTTATAATTTTCCCTTTTAAGGTTTCTTTTAAAAAAGTACTTTTGAGTTTGTTGGCTATTCATTGTTCCCAATGGCGGGGAATTATAGGATGTTTGCCCACAGAGACCATTTTTCTGTAAAAAAAAAAAAAAAAAAGAGGATAGGTAATTTTTTTTACCATGGTCTACTTTATAATATCCTGGAATTAGTTCTAATATAACCATCAAACATATGTCTTTTCCTTATTACAATCTCTTTCTATGGTAACTTATCATGAAAGCTTTGAAAATAATATAAAGAACTGGAAAGCAGTATTTTAAAGCCAAACAACAAAGAATCAATCTGTGGAATCTATAAATTACTTACTGTCTGTGTATGGTGTGAAAGTAATGTTTATCCAGTATGATGGCTTATCCTCAAATTCAGTTCTAACTCTTACATTGGTTGAACCATATATAGGTATACTTGTAATATTGCACTCTGTGAAGTCAATTCTTTTGCACAGGTCAATGAATTTATTAAGTCTATAAAAAGGAAGCAAAATGAATTAGGTGAATAAAGAGTTCTTGCAAGTTTCAGGCACTAAGCCACAGTGTTAAATCATTTTTCATTCATACCCTGATATATTGGACAAATTTATCTAAAACACATAAACCAATTATATTACAAAACTAACAATACAATCCTATGCTTGTATATTGAGAAGTAAATTTTAGTCACTTCAACAGGGATTATTCCTTGGTAAGTGGATATATGATTGTAACCACAACCATTTCATTCTCTGGTTTATTTTTTATGATGCGGAACATTATGTTGAAAAAACTCTTTCCAATACTGTTCTGCAGTGGTATGCTTGTTTGAAAATTCCTGCTCAACCCAACTGCTACTGCTACTGAACAAGGCACAATGAACTTACTCATCTGTAAATAAAGTCATACATAACAATGTGAAAGTATCAGTTTTGGCCCTTATGTTGCCTGTGACATGATTATAGTAACTTCAGAGGTAACAGAGTATTTCTGCAAAAAATGGGCGGTATTTTATTGTTGCCCAAAGATTTTCTCTCTTTTAATGACTTGGAACTTTAACAATTGCAAAATCACACAGAAGGAAGCAGAAGCAGATTCAAACAGCTGTGCAACAACTGTCTGGGTTTCCTATAAGCTTCCAGGAACACTTCCAAATCCCCATTATTTCTAGCCAGCATGACCATTAGTGATTGGGCAGGAGGAGGTCTTGCACCCATCCTGCTTGAGGGAATCTGTGGGCAGCTAGATTGCATGGAGCCCTGGATTGGATGGAGCTTTGGTCGGATCCAGCATGCCTTTTCTGATGTTAAGGCAGTAGAGCTGTCTTCAGATGGATGGTTCCTAGCAAAACAAGTTAAATGATATTCTGGAACAATTCCATCTTTGGTTCCTGAATGGGTTTTCTGAGGTAATGACACCTCTCCCTCAATAAAATTTTGTGTTTGAGGCAGGATGATTATGCACTAAAAACCTTGCTTGGAAATACCCTAGATAACAAGTAGCATGAACCCAGGAAAGGGAATTGCCTTGATGACAAAACAGTGAAGTGGAACAGAGAGAGCTACTAAATGGCTTGCATATTATGCATAATTGCTTGCATATTATTGCATATTATGAATGCACTAGAATATGGCCAGCAAATTGTATTACCATTACTCATCCATTACTCAGCTCACATTCCAATATTTTGACTCCTAAATCCTTTACATGGACAAACTAAATGCTGTTCAATTCATGTATAGAAACTATCTGTGACTTGTTTATTACTTCAGTGTAAGCACACAGAGGGGACATTTAAGTGTTGTGAAAGCGAGGAATTTCAGAATGGAAATGGAGGTGAGGGGAGCATAAATCTTCCCCTAAATGCACCACAGTTCCAATTTCAATTAAAGCCCCCACATGCTTATATTGAACTAAATAAACTAATCACATACAGCTTTGGCATGTATTATTTGAAGAAAGCTTAGTTTGCTGGTGACCAGCAAAGGACAATTGTCCTTGCACAAGATGTTTTTCCCTTCTACCAACTGACTCTGAAGCTTTCCCATTCCAGTCTTCTCTGAATGCCTGTGCAAACTTGGGCAGGGCCCTTCATTATTTATGATTCCACCTGCATTACAGCTCCAGATCCTAATTTCGAATGCAGGCATTGTGTCCCGGCCACCTGATTTACTCTTGCGCTGGAATGAACCTCTCCCTCCTCAGCTAATATAAGGTGGCCCAAAAGGTTAGATGACAGCGTGCCTCTGTTTACAAATCCTGACAGAACTTTGCAGTGGTCTCCATGGCTGTGATGGGCATTGCAAGCATACAGGCTGGATTAAAGGCGTGAGTGATGGGGTGGTACTGGGTACTGATCTGGGGCTCAGGCACACAGGATCTGAACACAAAGCAACAGAAATGTCTATATGCTCATTTACATAAGTTCTAAAGGGGAGAGGAGGTAATTCGACCTTGGGAAAAACCTCAGGCAAAAAGATGTGGGCGGGTGCAGCAGGAGGTGAAGCCAGCTAACCCAAGGAGATGCAATGCAACAGAGGTCAGTAGGCCCCCAGTTCCTTTATTTATTTGAGCAACTGGAGATGGACAGCACTGTGGTGGGAAAGATACTGTCCCAGAGATGTGAAGCTTCAAAGTAATGATTCAGAGCACCTAACATTGCTTGTTAGCAGGGGAGAAGAAGCACCTTTGCTTCTGACACTGAAGTTAAGTTGACCCCCTCTGCACAAGGAGGGGAATCATCCCCAGGAAATATGGTGTCGCTTTTGTGTAACCACAATGTGCCATGTGAAAGAGGAGCCTGTTCTGAGCCTTATCCTAAAATTAATGTTTGTGGTAAGTCACAAGATTTTCACTGGATTTTGTAAAATAGAATAATTATCATAAATATATGTACAGTATCATTCAAATATTATAATTCTTTATCCAAACAGGGATAGGGAGTTTGTATGTGAAGGAATGGAGGGGGAAAAACCCAGTCTAATAGGATAAAAGACTGTGGATGTTTTTAGTTTTAAATAGACCAGCAAATGATGTCAAAGACAACACAATAGGAAGAGACTTTTTAAAATATTAAAAACAGAGTATTCAAATTAGCCATTCATCTCACACTTACTGCTTATATTGAACTGTGTAAGTCACATTTCCTTCATGAAAATTAGGTGGATCCCATTGGAGAATGCTATCAAACATTAGTGAATGAATTCTTACATTTTGAGGTTCTGGAACCATTCCATGTACTGTAATATAGAAATATTAAATATCCTATTTAATATGAGATCTTGAAGTTCTTTTACCACCTCCCCGTGCCTCCATATATTCAAATCCGTTTAACATATAAATGTGCTTCATTAATTCAGTGTTCTTGCAAAATCCTCATACTCTACATAGTAATAACAACAATGACAGTGCAGTGATCATTCCTGCTTTTGCTTTACAAAGCTACCCCCTAAAAATATAATTTTATTATTTAAAAGCTTTTCTGTTTCTCTGTCAGTGCTTAAAAAGAATAGAAAGACAATTGTAAATAGGATTTTTAAAGAATGAAATGAAAAGTCCTGTGAAAAAAAATCCATTATATTCTAGAAACTGATCAGCAGTGACCTTCCAAATAGGGCCAGTTTCACACATTCTTGTAAACTATTGTGAATGTTGGTGTTGCTACAAGTCAAGGCTGAATCACCGAAATGTTTCTCTACACCCACTGGTCTGCTAATAGTCACTAGTTGCCCTATCCCGTTTTCTGTATTTTTTTTTTTTTAAACACAGGCTGCTACAAAACTGAAACTAGAAAGTGTTCCATGAACCTCACAGCACAGCAAGATGGTATTCAACCTCTCTTTTTAATGTGGTTTTAATTATAGCAAAAGGAAACCTAATTAGTATTTGTTTTCTAAAATAGCTCTATCTTCCTTTCAAAGCTGTCATACTGGAACCATTTAGTATAATCTAAAGGAATCTGAACTGATTAGAAAAGAAAGTGAATATGTCAGCTGGACACAAAGGTCACAGTCTAGGGGTACCCTTAAGCCCAAATACAAATGTGCCTGGGATCATGGCCACCCACACTACTTTCCATATGCAAGAGCATTTTCAGGTATGGAGAACTGATAGGAAATATGTATGTAACAGTCTGGCCACAAGAATTTTATGAGTGAAAATGGGTGCAAATATCACTGTACACTGACTTGGGACTGTGAGATTCAAGTTGTTTGGCTCTGGAGTTTTCCATATGAAAGATATCAGTGGGGCCAAGCCGCTGGCTGTAACAGAAAAAGGAAATGAGGCTGCAAGTTGCCTTGCAACTTTGCTGGGCATCTGCCAAGACTTACACTCCAGCAGAGGTTCCGTTGCCAACCTCTAGAACCTGTTGCTATTGCTGCCCGATTTCCAAGTTCCATGAACTCCAAGTGAAAGGAACGAAGAGAGGACTGCCTTCCACTCTTCCTCTGGGCAGCCGTGCACAGTGGGTCCAGGGGGAGAGACAACGTGAATGGGTAGTGGTGCCAGTGGCAAGGAGGCCAACCAACCCACTCAGGGCTGGGTGTTCTACCGAGGACATTTTGCCCAAGAACCCTCTGCAAGCCCACAACCAGCACTGCTTTCAAGCCAACAGCTGAGTAGAATGTAGGTACTGTAAACTGCTAGACCAGGAATGAGTAAAGCTTGAAAATCCCATCATCCTTCAACATTGGCTGAGCTGGCTAGGGCCAATGGGAGTTATAAGCCAAAACACCTGGAGAGCCTACACTAGACTCTTGGCGATGAACATACAAGTCATCAAGGGATAATAAACCCTACCCTAATTCCAGTGTTTGATTTGTATACACATGAATGACTTGTTTATATCAGACCAGAAGTCCATCTAATCCAACATTTCATCTCCAGCGATAGTCAAGCAGATGTCTGTAGAACCTTTTAAGTAGAACATGATAGAGACGTTTACAAGAGCTTTGCAGGGCTGTTAAGGACAGGACAGTTTGGAGGGCTTCTGTTCATGAGGCCACCATAAGTCAGAAACAACTTGACAGCACATAACAAAAACCAGAAATGAGAGGCAGCAATCATGTTCCTTCTTTCCATATAGCTAACTACACCATGGAGGATAAGTTCATGGAGGAGAAAGGTCTATGCATGTGTACAATGGGAAAGGGCTCCTGCATAACTCCTGTTATGACCCAACCAGCATGGAGTTGTTGGCCTTTTATCTGTCAAAACTGCACGAGGTTGTCCCAAATCTGTTTAATTCTTCTGCTAATGTGATCTAATCCAGGGGTTATTACATTAGCTTGTGGTAATAACACTGATGTTAAAGTTGGGTGCAATCAGTTCATCTCTCACCCACAAGCCACATAAGAATAGTGACAAAAGTATGTGTATGGTCTACTATTCCAAACAACAAAACAGAGATAGACGGAATCAGTACAAGCAAAGCATTTTAAAAGAGTTACAGCTGAGCAGAACTCCACCATTGGCTACCAATTTCTTGTAGTGTCTTCTCCTTCCCGAACTTGCCATTTAGTGCTAAAAGTCAAAGAGAAAACATGGAGAAAACTATTGTTGGGAGAGGCTCTCAAGGTTCTTTCACCACAATGGGATGAACCAAGCTGAAAGTCTAGCTGAGGGTCAGTGACTGGCTGAAACTCAACCAATAAGCTTCATAGCTAGTGTGGACTAAAATCTTTCTCTTCCAAGTCCCAGTTCAGCACTCTACTCACTACACTGCACTGGCCTTCCTAAGGCGTAGTTACCAGCACTAAAGTACTTCAGCCTAAACAATGCTGGTATTTTGGGCCCCCTCTTTTCCCTTTGGCCCCACCCAGCATGGGAATGCCCCCCCCCCCACCAGCTTCTCTGGAATGAAACTGGATCCTCACGCTGACAGAGATTGTGTCCTGCCCTGATCTAATCAACAGCAAAATCATAATCTATCATGAGAAGATTTCACAATTCTCTATTAGGAGGTAAAACTGAAACTTCCTGTTAATGAGAAGAGAAAGTTGCATCAGAACAATTAAGCTAATAAAATCAGGAAAATATCTGAATCTTGATTATGTAGAAAACCTAGAATGCTTCTGTAGTTCCATATGTTCTATTAAAGCCTCTGTGACTACAGTGGTAGTGGTCCAAAGGATTTCTAGAGAAAATACATTCTAGCCACTGATTGTCTTCAACCACTATCTGAGCATCCATTGTTGATGGGGGGGTGCAATGTTGATGATTTAAAAAAAAAAATCCCTCTTGGTTTTAGGTGCCATCTCTTTTTGAAGAGCATTCAGTCACAGCTTTCCATTTGTTCAGTTACTTTGCATGCTCTTCACTTTTTTAAAAATGCCTTTCCTCCTGGTTTTAGAATGATACTCTGTGGTTTAGAGGCTAAACCATACTGGTTTGAACAGAAGAGCACTTGGAAAGCAGGACTTTTCCAGTTGGGACATTTTTGTCTAATTCCACATCTTCGCAAAACTTTCACCAAAGGATTGGAGTTACCCTTTAGAATGGCAAGGGATGAGGTGCTGGAAAAGGTCTAGTGGAAGAGAGATGCCACCAGTGGAGAAATCATTAAAATGAGACAAAGGTATCTCGCATGAGTGGGACTCAGTTCATGAAGGGTACCTTTACCACTTCCCTACAAGTCCCAACATGGCTGGGAATGGTGGGACTTGTATTTCCACACATCTGGAAGCATCAGGTAGGGAGGAGGCTGCCTCTGAATCAGAGCAACCACATCTGCTGTGCCAGTGAACCACTCCCTGTTCCACCACTCCACCCTCCCAAACTGCAATGGCACCCCGCAGCTGCTGTCAGTCCTCCCCGACCAGGGTGAGCAGCAAGCAGATTCCCAGGTGCTTTGTTTGGACTTCCACTCCTACCATCCCTGAGCACTGGCCAACCGGCAGGGACGGCAGAGAGTGCAAGTCCAAGCTTCAAAGTAGTCCAGAAGAACTTTCTGCCCACGCCTACCCTCTAAACCTCCAAGGAGAACCCCAGGCGAAACAAGCTGCTCCTCCACCTTACCTAAGCAGAAAAGGCAGCTGCAGATCAGCCAGTGCCAGCCTCGCCAGGCCATCGCCCGGGCCACGAGGCCCGGAAGGGGGCGTCCACCCGAGGGGGGCTGCGGCCAACGCCCACCGCGGAGCACTACGCCGCAGCGCGGCCAGACCTCGCGCTGGGTAGCGCGGCGCCGCGGCAGCCCGGCGCCTCGTCCTCGTCCTCCTTGCTGCTCTCAACTCCCCTCATGCCGCGGGCCCCGTCGCGCCGCCGTTCCTGCACTTCCTCCTTTCCGAAAGCGCCCAGCTGCACCTTGTCCCCGGAGGAGCCGCGCCGCCCCGGGCACGCCCAGCTTCCGAGGCCCGGGCGGCCCGGCCCGCCGCCCCCGCACGCCGCTCGGCGCAGCCGTGCAGCGCAGCGCAGCGCAAGGGGCAGCCGCTGTCCCCTCGCTTGCTGCGATGCAGCCGCCGCAGCCCGCTGTGCCCCTCGCTGCCGCGTACGCCACGGCGGAATGGCGCAACCGCTGGGCAGGGACTCGGACCTCCACCTTGTGGGCCCGGCCCGGCTCGGCTGGGAAGGCCGCTGGGGGATTTGCGGTTCTCTGAGTCAGACTGCCCACTAATCTAACGCACGGGGTTGTTGAGAGAAGAAAATTAAACGAAAGGCCCATCTCGGCTGCCTTGGGTTCCTTGTAGCAAGAGAAACGGTGGGATATGTGTGTGATGATGGGAGGAGCGATCAGCGCCACATTATGGGCAAGATGCTCAGAGGCTGTGGATGAGCTTCTGCCAAGGCTGAAGTGGGCCGGGAGAGGGGAACCACGCAACATTTCTTACTGTCCAAAATCTACAGTGGTGGAATGCAGCCTGGAACTAGCGAGATTACAACATATTCTCTCTCCTGCTGTGTCTCTCCGTTTGCAGTTTCTGTCCTTATGTCCCCTGCCCTGCCAGTCAAAAAGGGCGACTCTAAGAGATGTTTAGTGCTCTCGTTTTTGTGTGTGCTCCTGTGGGGAAGTCCACACAAGTACTTCTTACGTGGTGGAGGGTAGTGGGCTGAATAATTTGCATTTCAACTGCCTCCTGAAGAGCAGGTGTTGTCTTGAGTCTGAGGACTTGTCCCTTTATTTCCACCTTGCTGCAGAATAGGCTAATACTTTCAGATACTTTACCAAGATCTGAAAAGAAAAGCATTCTCCTGGGGATGGGAAAAGAGAAAGCAGTGTCCTTTAGAAAGTCCTTGGTGCATAAAACACATTTGACCTCTCCTGTACTTTTTGGTCCTACTTCTGCAGTGGGAATGATTCTATTTTGTACACCAATCTTGTTCAACATTGCGACCCCCCCTCCCCAATATGTTGGAGTAAACTCCCATAAAAGGCAGTTCCTGGGATGTTCTCATCCAACGCATCTGGAGGACACTGGGGTTGGGAAAGGCTGCTTAATACGATGGATACTCATCCCAGGTTACAGCCTGATGTAAGTCAGTACACATTTTACAGCATTCTTCTGCAACTTGCAGAAGTACAGATATGTTGGAGAATAACTCCCAGGTTTCCTGCCTCTTAGCTCCTTTGGCTCGGACTGCTAGGGATTTGAGATCTAAGACATCTAAAGGGCACCAGTTTAACAAAGACTGCTTTTACAGGGTAGAGAAGGGAATTCAGCAGTTCTTCTCTTGCTTATTTATTTTTATTTTTACATTTATAAGTCAGCGAACAGCTCAAATGAGCTGCTTAGGCACACCCTTGTTGGCAGTATTAGCATTTTAAAGTTTCTGTGGGTGCTCATATCTATGTGATGTGAAACAATTGGCAAACATGATAATAAATCTTCAACACAGAGATACCAAAATTTGGTGGGATGCTGATTTTGATAGTCAAGTCATAAAAGCAAGGCAATACAACATCCCTGTCTTTAACCGTCTACCAGCTGTAGTTCCATTCTTCCTTATCCTGACCTTCTCTTTGGGAAATAGGGCACAACCTCCCAGTGGTGTTTGGTTGCCTGGCAGATGAAAGACATAATGCAGCATGTGTGTATGAGCATGTGCATATTTCTTATTTATTTGTAATATTTATATCCCACCATTTTTCCTTTCAAGACAGCTTACATAATTCTCTCCTTCATTTCAATCTTGCCTCACAACAACCCTGTGAGGTAGATTGGGCTGAGTATCTGTGATTGGCCCAAAGTGAGTTCCATGGGCGAGTGGGTAAGAAGCCAGATCTCCTGCCTTAGAGTCCAGTCCCACACTCTTAACTGCTATACTACACTGGCTCTTTATAGCTAAAGAAATGGCCCAAAGGACAAAAAGCCTTTGCACATCTGCAGGGGGAGTTGGTTTTTTTTATTAAGTACTCATTGGAGGAACAGGAACACTTTGCCATCTTTTTATAGGGCAGAGGCTTTGTGGACTGTTTAACAGGTATGAAGAAAACTGGTTCCGTTTTGCCTTGACCATGTATTGTAATGCTGCACATTCTTGGCTATTCAACTCGTGTGTGTTGGTGTGACGGTGTGGCATGTGACTGTCTCTTCTCACCCTAGATTATTAAAAACAAAACAGGAAAGGAAACAAGCTGCTGTATTGCATCAGACAGTAAAAAAGTCCCCTTGAAGTAAGCTGGGGAACAATCACAAGATGAAAATGTACGCATATGGCAAAAACTCAGAGATGGAACAAACACAGTTGTTATGAAAAAGCACTCCCTGGAAGATCTAAGATTGTCAATTCACAACACTTCCGGTCATTTTTAAATGCTTAAAACATTGTTTACTGGGTAGATTAAACTAAAATTGCCTATTTCAGCAAGGCTTCAGAGTGGTGTTCTGTACTTTCTTCCCACTCTGTCAAGCCGCTCTAGTTATATTTTCTCTTGGTCCTTCTCTTGACCAAATGGTCCTTTACCCTGTTTCACTCAGAACTGCCACTGGAAGTCTCTCCAGTCCTGGCAGCAATGATAAGCAGATAAAATCTCCAGGGTCAGAGAACGAATCTCTGATGTAGGCAATAATAGCACTGTAGTCTCAATCTAGATCAGTCTCTCACCACAATTAACAGGTAATTAAAATTGTTTTATTTAATGTATACCCTGCCTTTTACTCCAAGATGTCACAATTAAATTGCAGTTTTATTGGCTTATTTTAAATGGTTTAGGCTTCTACCTGTCTTAATTTTACCTAAGCAAAGATTTCAAAGCAACTGTGGAAGATTTTGCAAACATGGTGCTATGTATGATCCAGCCTTCCTGTCCCCATCCTAACATTTGACTCCATCCCCTAACACCTTATCTAATCCAAGCATGTGCATGCCCAGGTCTGACTAACAAAGCAAATGGGTCATGGAAGCTTATCAGCATTATTGATGTACATGCTGAACTGGTCCTGACCCAAGATTAGCTAGCAGAAATATTTAAAACAAAGACAAAAAGCGTCCTGCAATGTAGGGAATCTGCATATTTTAATTTTGAGTGCATAATTAGAAAACAACTCTACCATTATTATGAACTCTTAACACTGCAGAACAAAACAGCTTTGCATGTTCCTTTCCTGTTCCAGTCCCATCATTCCTGGAAGGCAGGAGACCCTGTAGAGCAGCATATGATGGAACATGGTGGGAAAGTCTTACACAACAGGGGGGAAACATGCAGAAATTAACTTCTCTCTCCCTGTATATTTACATTCAAGCATGTTAATCCATTTGCTTTATCTTCCTTCACTGGAATGTTTCATGCAAAGTAGTGTGGCTTCTCCACTATTAAGAACACTAGGTTTGAAAAACAAAGGTATACACCAAATGCATACAGTGTCTTAAGTGTCTTAGAAGTATTTCTTAGCATGTATATAAATATTAGGGCTAAACTAGATTCTTTATTAAATATGTATTTAACGGATCACCAGCATTTTTCAGTCCTTTAAATAATCATCTGGGGCCTCAATTTAGGTTGGTGCTACTACATGTTGGTAGAGGAAGTGCCACCACTTTCCTGCCCTAAATGATCCTTTATCTACTAAGGATTAAGTGACATGAGAAATAAAAAAGCAAGAGTGAGCAAAGAACACATTTGTTTGTTTTATGTATGGGCTTTATTTTATTTATGGTTTTGCCCCAGAATTGAGGTTTTCTGACAACATAAAAAGTTGTCAAAACAGTATAAAAAAGCAACATATACTGCCAGTATGAAATGCATATCAATAACATTAAACACAATTACATCTTCATGCTTTAAAAAGCCAAAAGTCCTGACAGAGTACAAAGTAAGCACCAGGCAGTGCTGTGGAAGGTATTCCACTGCTGGGGGATAGTCACAGAGAAGGACTTCTCACTCGTAGCACTGGATGTTACTTGTCAGTGGCCCTCAGACAATTACATCAAGGTCCCGATAGAAATATACTGCGGGAAGCAATTCTTCAAATTACTTGGCCCCAAGCTGTTTTGAATTTTGAAAAGTAAGACCAGCACTATAATGTGGACGTAGAAATGGCCTGGAAGCCAGGAGATTTGGTGAAGCACTGTTGCAGCTGGTTTTGGACTAACCAAATTTTTACAAAGGTAGCAGTATATACCGCATGTCACAGTAATTCAAACTGCAGGTGACCAGAGCATGGCTAGCTGTAGCCAGGCTGTCTCTGCCCAGTTTGAACCATGGCTGGTATCCGCCACGCTAATAATAGTCACTCTGAGCCACTGAGTTTACCTGTCTTGCACTTGAAGTGACAATGCTAGATCAATGAATACCACCAGACTTTGAACCTGATCCTTTAGGGCAAGTGCATCCTTCTTCAGAACAGGCTGAATATCACTCCACTGGGCAGACAAACCACCTGCTAACTATACTACAATTTTGTGTGCATTTATCTGAGTCTGTTTATTTGCCCTTACCCAGTCCTTAGTGCATCCTCAGATGCCTGCTCAGTTAAGATACAAGAGGAACAAAAGATATGCTATCACAGCCGCATATTATATTTAAAGTGCTTTCAAACACACTATATTCTGTACAGTTTGGGGAGAGTCCAAGAAGATACAAATATTGACTACCCATAATGACTTCCTCTGTGCAAGTGCTCAGAAATCTGGCATTGAAAAAAAGGTAAAGGTTTCCCCTTGATGTTATGTCCAGTCATGCCTGACTCTAGGGGGCAGTGCTCATCTCCGTTTCCTAGCCGAGGGAGCCAGCGTTTGTCCACAGACAGTCTCCGGGGTCATGTGGCCAGCATGACTAAACACCCAAGTGCATGGCACGCTGTTACCTGCCCACCGAAGTGGTACCTTTTCATCTACTTGTGTTTGCATGCTTTCGAACTGCAAGGTTGGCAGGAGCTGGGTCGGAGCAATGGGAACTCACCCCGTTGTGCAGATTCGAACCGGCGACCTTTTGATCTACCAGCCCAGCAGCACAGCGGTTTAAACCACTGCACCACCTGCAGTCCCTCTTCTGGCATTATTTATCCTAAATTCAGCTACTGGCCATGAGCAGATAAACATATATATATGCAGGTTTTGAAGCAGCAGGCTGGGCTCATTGTTTCCAAGGAAATGGGCTATTCTTTCCAGAATGTTTGTTCAGAAACCCCACAGTTAGTTCATGAGAAATGCTGTGGAGAAGTATTATCACTGCTTCCTCAGTAATGAAGGAGTCACTTCCCCACAGTAGAAACCAACAGTGGAGCATTAATTAGACAGCAAACAAGGGCTGGCCTTTTAACAGGCTACAAGTTCTTAGCAGCCAGACAAATTCTAAAATTCTCTCCAAAATACCACAGTGTCTTCCCAAGCTGCATGAATGCAAAGCAGAAAGATCTAATAAGGTGTGTAGCTAAAGAAACAATAAGTAGAACCCTGAAGAAACTTACTGAGCAACTGCAAAATTCTGTAAAAAGTAACTTAGTCAAGGTAGTAGAATTAAAGCTGATACAGAGGGTCTAGTCATGCTATATTGCTCATTTCAGGGGCAAGTTCAAGTGAACAAGTCTGGAATGATGAAAGGGATTAGCACTTCTCTGTTCTTCTCTGTTTAATTTCCCCCTTCTGAGATGGCTTTTCATTAAAAACAACACCGTGTCTGTGCTTGGTTACACATGTCTGTGCGTAACACGTATTTTAATAGCCCAGTTACATGCTATATGCAAACATGGAAAGTAGAACACTGACAAGTGTGACAACCACCATGACTCACATAAAGTTCAACATACCTCTGAGATCTAGCATGGTATAGCAGATGGTGACCCTTACATGTTAACAAGGTTATGTACGATTCATAGAATTAAATACCTTGCTCTAACCTCACATATGAACAAGGTTATGTACAACTCATAAATTCAGTAGTCCTGAGTAGATTACATGGATTTTGGGGTATCTTAAAATGAAGAGTGTAAAAAATTGCAACTTCACTTGAATAAAAGTGATAGTTTCAGAGAATATATACCACTTGGTCCTTTAAGACAGGGATAAATTGGCATATTTTAAAGTGGTAAGTTGCCTTATAATTGATTCATCTGCTCATGTAGTCACCAACACAGTCCGGTTCTGAATCAGATGATTCAGTTTCTTCAAACCCACTAGAGTTTTGCCATGTACATGGCTGGTTGTGAACCTCAGAGTCCCACAGATCTGGTATATCAGTGGAATGGTTTGTCTCACACTCGTCAGGAAAATGTGGCTCTTTCAAGTCTGCTGCCTCCTCTTCTGTTTCTGGAACTTGTGCTGCAGAAACATTCTGCATTTTGTCAGATATTAGCAGCATCACAGTATTTAAGTTTATATTTAAAGAGCTGCTGTGTTCTTCTGACCCAGGCCTGTTGAGGACAGTTTCTGCAGCAGAAGGGTGTAATTCTTGCTCCAATGGGCTTTCTTCTTTATTAATATCATTCTGAAGATTTTCAGCCACACTACCAAAAGGCTCAGCTATTTCACTTGCAGTGGATGAACAGTCTATGGACAGCTGCTTTGTGTTGTCTGTCTCATAGCAATGTTTGGAACTATTGCCCAAGAAACTACGTTTAAAATATAAATTCTCATTTTCAGTGTCACTTTCATTGTCTTCACCAGAACTGTATCCTGATACATCTTTTTTACATTTCTGGATGACTTGCGCCTTGTGCATTTCTTCAGGACATGATTCAAAGATGGAATAAAGTGGTTTAAATCTGAATGTCTGTGGGAAACACAAGTAGCAATTTGATATCTATAAAATGCATGTATAATATGTACACAATATATACATGAATGCATATGTTTCTGTCAAAAAACTACAGGGGACCCTGCCAAGCCAAGCCAAGCCTCACTGCCAAGGCTAGTCTTGTTGGATGTCAAGGGTGACAGCAGTCTTGCTTAAATACTGTTCTGGAAATTACTGCATTTTCCCAGGCAAAAGGAAAATTCTTAATGGTAAGAACAAGAACTGCCAGGAAGAACAACAAACTAAGACTTTAGGCTCTATATGTATTTTTTTAAAGTATTTGCAACACATAAGATAGGCTTTGTAGGATCTACTTTAGCAAATATCTGACCTTTTACAGTGTCTGTCTCTGTACATAATGGATTGGTTACAGATGCAGCTGTACTTAAGAGTAGACTCATGGGAATCAATGGGATTTAAAGTAGCCACATCTAATTTAAGACCTATTGATTTCTTTGGGTCTACTTCAAGTCTAGATTCAACCCAATTGGTTGTCCAATAGCCAAATTGATTCTGTGCCCACATACAAGTTTGAAGGTACAGTAATACCTGTTCAGTGCAAAGAAGCCTTTTTAGTCACGCCAAGGTTCCTGACTGCACATACTAACCTTTTTTGTGTACAACTGTGCACAAAAAGGGCCCTTTCTCGCATTCCACTGAATGAGTAAAAATTGGGAGCAAGCTGCATGCTGATGTGAGAAAAGTGGAGCAAGTGGCCACAGTCCTGCTCTGGTCCACACACTGCCTGAACCCCTACAGTGCCTTGCAGAAGTGTTCGCCCCCAGGACGTCCCCACAGTGCCGAGTATCTTGTGTGCATCAGGTGGTAAGAATGCCAGTTAAATCCCTCTGTTCCAGCTTGTCTTTTACCATGACAAAATGTAGAAAAGCCACGGGTGGGGGGGGGGGGGGCGTGTGAATACTTCTGCAAGGCACTGTAGAGCCCAACATGGTTGGAGTGAAGAGCAGTGTGCAGGTAGGTAGGTAGGATGGAGGTGCCTTGTCCTTCCTGTAGGTTTCCCAGGAGATGCAAGGCAATGAATAAACCTTCTCAAGTCTACCAGGGCCAATGGACTGAACTACCCGTTTTTACAGTGGATGGCAGGGGACACATGATTCGTCTGGCAGCTCTGTCTTATCATCACATTGCTGAGCCTTCCTATAATCAGAATCGTTTAGGTCAGCCTTCATTAATCTAGTGCCATATCAGTGATTTGCTGATTCCTGACCACTGGCTATTCTGACCGGGGCTGATGGGAGCTGAAGTCCAAAATGCCAGGTTAGGGAAGGGTGCTTTAGATCTGTTGAGCTATGTGTACATAATGAAAAATTCCAAGAGGACATACCAACGCTTTTGGCCATTTTATCCTTTTTAAGCAAATAACACCAGTTTGTTTCAGGGCCAGCACAATGACGATCGTTAAAAATATCAATACGCCAACCAGTGTTGGGATGGCAACTGCTGCTATAAGGTAAAAAGATATTTGATTAAACAGCAATGCACTGGGGGTTATTACAAAATATCATTGCTTTGCTGAATATATAGAGTGTACAGTCCGAACTTGCAAAAGGAAAAGCTCATGTTACCTGAAATGCTAAAATAAAAAACAGTGTTTAACTTTTCAAGTAATCAAGAATCAAAACAGGCTCCCACCCACTCCCCCCCCCCTTTATAACTCAAAGTACCTGTTTTACTTGTGGGGTTAATGACAATACATTTTATGACGGATGGCTCACACTGCTTGGTCATAGTTGAAGACACATTGACAGTAATGCAGTAATTTGTAGCTGGATGCAAATTTTCAATAATTGTGTAGGAAACTGCTTGAGTGGTTTTCTTAGGAGCATACTGTAAAAGGCAAAAGGTTTTATTTGACAATTGCTTAAAAATATACTGTAAACGACAAATATACATTTGAGAGCTGTTGAAATAGGTGAACTGTGATCTGGATTGTCTCACTTTAGAATAAGATCAGTACATGGCCCACTCTCAGTTTAAGTGCACTGTCTTCAATATAGACGGATGATAAAATTAGCCCAGAGCTGTTATAAGGATTACTGGGATAATATTATGAGAAGTACTCTGGATATCCAAAGATAAACGAACTTGTATGCAACTGCAACAATCGTGATAAAAAATAAATAGCAAGATGTGTATTCCTTTGCTTAATATTTGCATCGATTTCCTTTGTATTTGCATTTTTTCTAGCAAAAATAGTGTGATGATCCTGCAATGTCATGGTAGCCTCCTGGTTTTTCTGATACTCTGCTGACTTAGCTGTGGCTATGCCCAATTCTATGTTCCTGATGCTGGTACAGGAATTAATCTAGTATATAAACCAGAGCCATCTTAATCCAACAAGTTCTGCAGGAGCTCTGAAGCACGCACAGCTTCAGCATATACAGGATATATCAGACTGACACTTCCGCTGCAAGGAATGCATGCACTGAACTGTCCCTTCCATGCAAATTAATCCTGGAAACACAGCGACATAGAATTCCAGCCACTGGAGCACAAGCAAACATGTGGAAGATGGAGCGATAGCATTAAGGCACAACCCCATGAGACTGCTGCCTATTAGATAGAAATCTCAGTAACAGATTGCAGGTGGTCCTCTACATTCTTGGGGGGCGGGGCTAGGGGCATAGGACCCCCATCAAAGTGGGAAATCCATGAATATCTTTAGCTGCTCCCACAAACTTTAAGTCTCAATACCGTTGACCATATGTGTACCAATAGCTGCATTAGTTACCTCTTTTGCAATCTGAATAACTTCTAGCTTAAAACAAGACTGGATTACAGCCCACTCCAAGGGAGCTCATCCTGCACCTCCTGCTCATCACGAGCCTTGCACACCGCTGCATGCCTGATCCCAAGAGTGGTGGCCACCCTGCCCTCACCTGGGGGTGGCACACTTTTCTGGGCTGGTCCCGGCTGCAGCGAGGAAGGGGAGCATTTCCTGCACAGCTGTCTGTGGAGGAGTAGGCAGTAGGCCACAAAACTCCAAAAAAGCCATTTAATTATTGATGGCAAACTCAAATAAGCAAAGCTGTGAAAATTAAACCCACAAAAGTCAAGGTGTGACTGTACTGACCTCTTGCTTCAAGTCTTTTTCCATCAATGTGACTACATAGTCAAGTTCTTGGTAAACTTGAAGTACTGATGAAAATTTCACAGTCACATTTATGCAGTTTGGACAAGCAGAAACTGTAAACTGAACTGGTGCTAGGCACACTGGTTAATAAGAAAAAGCAAAATCAATCTATCAATGACATTTCTTACATGCATTTCTGGTCTAAATTTTCATAAGCCGAAGAGAGTATGCAAAGCACAACTAGCTTTGAGAGAAGAGTTCAGCTGAAATCTAATTGACTTGCTTCAAAATATGATGGTTTAGGATTCAAGAGTAAATAGCACAAGAAGTTCTATTGATTAATTTTGACATTTCCAAAATAGACCTTTTTGGGAAAAAAAGTCCTACAATCCTCAGCATTGCCCAGTCAGCAAAGGACTTTTTTCTGTCTAAACATGCATAAGATTGTGCCCCAAGTCATTTTCCTTGTTGATCTTAGATGCTTGTCTTACGTTAATTTTCAGTGTAATTCTGCTTATGAAGGCCTGCCTTAAGTTGACCCTGCCTTAAGTTGATTTAACTTAAGATTTTTATCTTGGAGGCTTGTGGTGTAGCTGCTGCTCAGTCCCCTAAGAAGCAGGAAAGGGCTGATGTAGGACTGGAGATAAAAGCCATCAGGGCCAAATTATTTGACTACTATAGGTAATTCACAGAAGTCAGGGCAGGCGATACAGTCCTACCCCTATATTATTATTTCATTTCTATACCGCTTGTAGCTGAAGCTCTCTGGTCAGTTCACAACAAAAATATAGTGATAAATTAAGTATTTGAAATAATGCATTGAATAAGTGCTTCTTAATAGTATCCAAACTTTGCTGCCAGAAATGACCACTTTCTCTAATGGCATCTCAGCTATGGAAGCCAGAGAGAAGGCACTGAAGTATCTGTGATTAAAAGTGGAACAGAGTGACAGCTTCAAGCATTAATAAAGAATGAATTACTTACTGTTGGAATATGGATTGAATTCTGTATATGAAACTTGAACTCCACTTTCTGTGACCTGCTCCACATAAATTATGTATGTTTTGCAAGGATCTGTGAACTCTTCTGTCAGGTTACAGAATGAATGTCTGATATTGGAACATTTCATGACAGTCCTCTGGTTTAACCTGAGTAAACTTGAAGTGGAAATAAGAAGAAACGAAGATTTTTCCAACTGGACACAGTGGAAGAAGTGACTCAAAACAGCAGCATGCAAACTTGACACAATCCCGAGTCCAAAAACCCCTTATATATACTCCACTCTGGCCCAAATCTGGTATAAGTCAAATTCTGCAATGGATATATTAATACAAACTAGATTTTCAAATATTGTTTTTTTTCTTGAAAGAACAGCACCTATCAGAGTCTACCATACACTGTCATTCTTTTAGTTTGTGTGACAGAGAAGTTGAGGGGGGAAAGACTCAGGGAAAAAATGCTCCTTTTGATTATTCTCTTACCTCCTTTAGCGATGGAAGACAGGAAAGAGGCAGAGAATATTGGTGGACTGAGAGATGGCAGCAAGGTACTTCGGCTCAATTTCAAGTCAGGCATACTGACAAAGTAACAGGAGAGAGCACTCCCAACGAATGTGATCTACAGATGTTTATGTTCCATAATGCTACATTATTCGCAACAGTATTTAAGCAAATTTGAGCTAGCATTGTGCGGAAAGTACCAATTGACCGTAAGCTTCTGCTAATTTGAGAAACTGTTACAATTATAGGATGCTTTTATGGAAAATGTGTTTAAGTAAAGGATCCCCAAACTCTCAGGTTTTATGACTTTGCTTTAGATACTCGCATTGTTTGTAATGGCCTATGGCCAATTGTTAACCGCCCAGAGAGCCTTGGCTATTGGGCAGTATAAAGATGAAAGAGATAAAGAAATGGCTATAAACAAACATTTTGAATAGCCATCAAAGAAACCAAACTTGATTAAGGAATTGAAATAAACTGTACAGAAAGTACAGTAGAACATTTTCCCAAAAGGTTTAAACAGCACAGTTTTTCTGCACATTTGAGGGCTTAAAAACAAAAAATATTACTATGTCGCACAATTATTTTTATTATTACAAATAGAAACCAACATCAAACACATTTCAAACAAACAGGTTGGTCTAGCACAAGTACAAAAATATTTGTATTTGTAAAATACCAGAAAGGGTTTCCACGTGCCTTTAGCAGCACTTTAATTTTTCTGGGTGGCAGTCAATCAATATGTTATCAACATTACATTGTGTCAGGCATACTGAACCCAGTAGTTCAAGGCTGCCATCTGGGCTGTCGAATAACCCTTTCCAGTACTGTCAGCTGACTGGAAGGGCAGTTCCTATGCACCAGGCCTTATAAAGGTCTAGCCATAGAGTTGGGTGCTCAGTTCAATCAGCCACTGTCATGTGTGAGGATTGTGCTTCACTCCTCTTTCCTTTTCCCGATTGCTACCTTGGCTGTTGTTTTGTGCCTGCCTTTGAACACATACCTGCCTGGTTTTGGCCGTACACTGTCTTCTGATGCAGAAGAACAGGGACCCAGTTCCCTGGGTTCCAGATCTTGATGGTCTGGAGTCTCACTTGGCTGAAACCTGGTGGAGAGGGAAGAAAAAGGTAAACATCAAAGAAGCACACTCCAAATAAACAAACCTAGTTTCCCAGGACTGTCTGACAATCTGTCTCAGAGCTCAAGCATGTGTGTCCTCCTTCATAAATGTGTCCAATTCCCCTTTCAAAACCCAGGCTTGGAGTTTGACAGTACAATCACTCAGGAGATGCACGGTGCATTCTGGACAAGTGCTCCACAACTGGGAAACTCTCTTCCATTGAACCAGCCCATAATAATGTTTAAAAGCAAATACTGGGTAAGGCATTTCACATTTGAACTACTGTCTTTACTTACCATTGATCCATATATAGGAGCAGGATCCTGTGTTCTGTGCCCAGTGGGCACAGGTGTCCTAAACCCTCAGCATGGTACAGGTTTCACACCTAAATATGTGAGCACCATTGTGCAGTTCAGTGTTTCCTGTCACCCTCCAGATGCATTGGATTACAATCTCATCACCCCCCAACCAGTGCAGCTGTTGGCCACCCTGGTTGAAGATTGAGAGTTGTACTCCAACTTTATGTGGAGGGTGCAAGGTAGGGGAACAGTGGTGTAATTCATGCTGAATACAGAAAGAACAGCATGAATATTAAAAGCATTCCCTGCTCCCCTAGAACAGAATTTCATTTTATGGACTTCTTCCTTCTACCATTCCTGATTTAATCCTGAGCTACAAAAACCAGCTGTTCAAATAAACATAATAAAATACAGTAATTCTTAGTGGCTAAGCATTAGCCAGGCTATTCGTGTCTGAATCCAAGATACCCTGTTATTAATTGATGCAAAGAAGGAACAGAAGATGCAGAACAGCAGGTGATCCTAAATGATCCACAGGAAGTTCTGATTTGAAAATACCACAAAGATAACATATTTTTGAGTACCAACTTACTTACCTAGACTTATTGGAAGAAAAATCTAGTAACTGGTCTTCCTCTGAAGACTTTGATTGCATTTCAGTGGGGCACACTGGACTTCTATAAAGGAGAAAGGAAAGGTATATACGAGGATTAATTAGCTTGATTGATTTTCTGTGGCAACAGTTACAGAAAAGCTCAACCATGTGTTTCTTTTCATATTTTTGTTTCTGAGCAAATTAGGCAATTCCTCAGTTGACCAGATGTCAAACAGATATTAGCTTACATTAGTGCAGATGACCTGAGCTACAACTTGCATAAACCCCAACAGCATGGGCAAGGGTCAGAGATACAAAAGGGGAAAGCAGCAATTGCTTGGGGAGTTGACTCTCCTATGCTCCACTGCCATCTTCTTTCAGCAAAGCCTAGACTGCTCTTGGGTAAACATATGAGCTGAGGATAATGAAGTAAAACTAGACTGCAGCTGGAGAAAGACTGTGCTAAGTCTGACTGATCACAGGAAAGTATTCATTATGAGGACCAACCCAAATTCCTAAGTAAGGTATCTGCTAACTGTGAATTTGGGGATTTCATTTCTTATGGCTCAATATGGCTACCTTTGTTTACAGTTAGTTGGGTTTTTTTAAAAAAATACTGAATATATCATTCCCCAGTTTTTTCTCTAGATCCAGATGTTGGAATTCACTTATAAGTCAAATTGCAGACCTGAGCAAATTTGCTAAGGAGTAAAACTTCAATCCTACATATACTTACCTAGGAGAAAATCCTGTTGAACTTAGTATAACTTACTTCTAAGTAAACATACTTAGGAATTCACAGTAAGGTTGATACAATCCTGAACATCTTTCCCCATCCACAAATCTTTCTGTACCCTCAGTTGTTTTAATGCTCCACAACACTTTCTATGCATCTCAGCTACTTTTCCCCATACCACAGGATTCTATAGCCATATCCAGGGCTGGACCCAAGACATTTTGCTGCCTGAGGCAGAGCAGAAAGTGCCATCTTTCCCTGTACAACCCCCAGTCAAGGTGTATAGTATTCAGAGGCAATCATGTTGTTTTGACTGTGGAGACAGAAAATCCTGCAAGCACTTCTTTCCCTCCCTGGCATAATAACTTAAGTAATGAATAATTCGCTGTTTTTTCATGACATCCCAAATAAGCTATTTAAGGCACTTGCCTTGGGCTTCAAAATGTGTGTGTCTCTTGCAGGACCCTGCCTCCTTAGGTCCCCCCGTTTATAAAATGGGATGCATAGACCAGGAAAGGAGAGCATTTGATTTCAGAAAAATAAACCTCTAGAAGAAAGATCTGAAGAAGGTAGTAAGAGGGGAAGTACATGCAGGCAAATGCTAACTTATCTAGAAGGGATACAGTGAAACAGTGATCATTAAGGCTTATGTACCTTTATGTCAGCAAGTGTCATTTTCCTTCAGTTACATGAAAAGCACTATCTTTCAAAATAACTTTCTGTACAATAGACATCTCCACTTGATATGTGAGCAGTCAGTGGGGTTACTTCTCCTCTTACTCCTGCCTACAGTGACCTAAGACACAACTGCAATTTCCCAGTAACAATTAGCTGGGCAGGTCTGCAGAATCAGGCATACTTTGAGAAAGCTGGGTGACAGTGTTGCTGTTAGGCAATTGTGAATTATGGTCTTAATGAAAATAATGAGCAGACTGGAGAAAGAAAATCTGTCCTCTAGCTTAAAGGAATGGTGCTTCCAAGTTATACTATTAATCTGTCAAGGGAATGAGTCCTAAGATCTCGTAGTAACTACAAGACTCCTGAGTTAAGAGAGAGGAAGCAGGCTTGTAATACAATGGCACCTGCAGCAGCTAAGAAAAGCCAAGATACAACTCAAAATATCTGGGGTGGATCATTATATTATTTCATATGCAGGATGATCTCCTCCCATATGTATCCTATATTTTTAAGATTGTCTTTGGTAGCCCTCTTCTAAGTGCCTCCACTAAATGAGTTGGTGACAGCAAGGACAGGGGCTTTGCAATGGTGGCACCCTGGTTGTGCCCTTTTCCTAATGACCAGCCAGTGCCTACATTTGGTCTTCCTAGCATCAGGTCAAGGTCTTTTCATATTTTCCCTTTAAAGGTTTTTAGTTATGCTTAAAGGTTTTGACTTTTGTGAGCAATCCGGAGATGTTTGGCTATCGAGTGTTACAGAAATGTAATAAAGCAACAAGCTTGCTGAGGATACCAATTGTCTTATAGCTTTTGTAGATTACAGGTCACTTCATAAGACCTTTGCTAGTCTTTAAGATGGTATAGGAATCTTTGTTTCACTATTTCATGTAGCAGGAACTTAAGCAGATATATTCAAAAGATTCTTATACCATACAAATCATTCATAATAATTTGCTAATAATGAATATATATTATAAAAAAACAGAAACCTGAGCAATACTGTATACTTCACATTGTAGCATGCTGGTGTCTCTTCAGCCTTCCATGTTAGAATATACACAAGATCCTGTGATTTGATGTCAATGGTGAGTGCAGAAATATATGCTTTTTATGAGGAGGAAAAAAAACAACTGTTAAAAAGCTTAGCAAGGACTGAAAAGCTCCGTCCTACCAATCATTCATAAAGATCTCTGTATCTTGCACTTCATTCCAATAAAACACAATTTAAACATGGCTGTGAATGTCATACAGGTTCAATTCATAGCAACTTAAGTGGAAGCATGCATACTGGCATGCAGGATTTTGCTATATATTGATACTGATGCAGAGAAATGTGTACAGATGTACAAAATTGTACTGCAGTAGTAGCAAAATGCAAGAATGGTTTATTCCACAGAAGCCTGCTTCCATGATCCCTTTGATGAATGCGCAAGCAGCAAAGATAACATTCAGTGATCTGTCTGTTCCTGCCCCAGTGTTTCAGGCAAAGTTGCCCACCCCTTCCTTGTATTTTAAAACCATTGCATGTACATTTAATCAATTACAACTCAAGCCTTTCCCATTGAAAAAGAAAGCAGACTCAAGTTTGGCTGTAAATAGAAAGAATGGGTTCCCCCAACCTTCTCTGGAGAGAGTCTTTATCAGACTTTATAATACAATGACAGCATTTGCACATCACACTAAACCATAGTTTAATCAATACACTTCAGTGCAACATACACCAGATACAATGAGAAGAGTGAGCCTCAGGTTGGCATACTTCCTCCTCCGCTCTCTTTCTCCAACACAAGAAGGAGGAGGATCAACAGTATTTACTTTCGGTTCTTCTTCCATTATTGTTGCATACAAACTCAGGGTTGTGGCTTATACTAACTATGGTAAGTATAAACAGTTTTGCTTTGTAACCAAAGTTTGAAGCTGGCTTGCTTTGAAATCGATCCCAGGGTTGCAAGAAGATAAGCAAAAAATCCTCCTTCCAACTTTCACAGGAGAAAAGGGGGGAACACTTGTCTGGACTTGTTGCAGCCCATGCATATTGCACAAAACATGGTTTAGTGTCGTCTTTGAAGGAGAAGGAAGGAGAAGTACTTCTATCAAACTTGGAATATTTTTTATCATTGGTTAGAGAAACGGGACTATGCGTAGAATTGAATATAGTTCTTAAATGTAAAAAAAAAAAAGGGCGCGATGTCGACCCACTATATCTGATGTCCTGAATAATTGTTTGTAGATTTGGATTTATAGAGAAAATAATAAAATTTATTTAAAAAAACATGGTTTAGTGTGGTATATGAACATGACCATACTCAAACTGAACTTTCTGTTGAAATGACATGCATCTGTATGTGCCCTGAGGTGACTCTCTTGAATGATTTGTCACAAATACAAACAGCTTTTCTTTGCAAACGCAACTGAAAGGAAAGCTAGTCAGCTCATGTGGACAGCTTTAAGTCCATTATAATAGAGTTTCTGCATAAACTATTCTGACAGGCTCTGTAGAAGCCTTCCCCAGTTTGGGACCCTCCAGATATGCTGGATTACAATTCCCATTGTGCAGCTAACAAGGCCATTGGGAGTGTCTGTTATGGATAGTGGGACTTGTAGTCCAATGCACCTGGAGGGCACCAGATCATGTAAGGCTGGTCTATAGCACCTGACAATAGTAGAAATACTGGTCCCAACAGCAAGAAAGGTGGTTAAAGCAACAGCAAGAAAGTAGTTTAAAAACTCTTACCAACTAAGTTGGATGAAGTCATAACACAGATGTACACTATAAATGAAACGTTAATTAGAAAATAATATAAAAACATGTTTGAGCCACAAAATTTGCATTGATAACTATCTCAATGCTGACTGCAATCTACTTCATGCAAAACACAGAATGTGAGATTCATGGCTTTTTTTCTGTGGACTTCACAGCACTATTGAACAACGTTAAGTTGGGGAACTTCAAGGTGGTGGGAAAGGGCAGTTATTCCTGTCCTTCTCCTGGTTCATAGTTTAAGGCGCAATCATATGCATGGCTGGGGTACGCAGCTTCTTTTCTGTCTCAACAGGCATAAGACTGTACCTTAATCAACTTAAACTGCACCTCTTCCTAAATTCGTCCATATATGCCCTCCCGCCCCCTGAGATCGGTGGCAGAGGCCCTTCTCCGGGAACCCTTCGTGAAAGATATTAGGAGGGTGAGTACCTGGAGAAGGGCCTTCTCTGTGGTGGCGCCCCACCTATGGAATGCGCTCCCCAGAGAGGTCCGCCTGGCACCATCATTATTTGTTTTTCGGCACCAGGCCAAGACCTTTTTATTTAAACGATATTTTAACTGTTAATTGTTGTCTCTATTTATTGGTTTTTATAGTTCTGCCGAGATGTATCCGGATTTTTAAGGTCTATTGTACATTTGTGTATTTGCTTTGTAAGCCGCCCCGAGGCTTTTTGTGAAGGGGGCGGCATAAAAATGCTCTAAACAAACAAACAAATAAATTCTACCAGTGCAAACGAGGTAAATACAATGCAAATTCACATAATTTATCCTGTAGAAATACATTCAGGGTTCTTTGGAATTTGGAATGTTTTGGCTTTTCTTGTTGCTACTCTCAATAGTTGAGCAACTGTTTCCCTACCAGAGAAGCAACAGTATCCAGATTAAAGGAAATATAACTGGGAGTGGTCAAAAGTTTTCAGTGTGCAAGAATCAGTGTCCACATGCTGCTGCAATGTGCGCTGGGCACACGGTAACTGAAAAAGTCATTCCTACATATTTTCATTCATTTTCTTTGCCATATTCTTAGCCCAGGCAACCTGATAAATCCCAGAATGCTTCCAGATTGAGTTTTTATGATGTCAACACCCTGCCTCATTTATAAAATTTCATGTGTGTGGAGGCATCTTCTTCCACTCACAACCCTCTTGTGTTTTCCCTGCAATTTGTCCACTTTTTTCCTTACAACAGAAAAACCCATTAAGAAGAAAATGTAGTACTTGCACAATGCCTATAGTAATAGTAACAGTTGCACAATGTAATAGTTGCACGGTGCTGGAGCTATACATCCAGAAGCATCCTTGAATTACTACTGCCTTCTATTCAGCACCACCCACAACTTCTCTCTGAATCCCACTGATCCTGGTTACTTATGAATACCGATAGCCATTGAAAGTGGCTATCCAGTCCATGTTCATGACTTTTGGCTCCCATGTTCTCAACCCTGTGGAAGTCTGTAATTTCTTTTGTTTACTTCATCTTATTTACAAAATCCTTCCTTTCCATCTCCTCCAAGCTCTTTCCTTTCCTGGATAGGGACTATATTGTGTCTTCTATCCCAGAACAACAATTAGGACAATTTCCAATCCTAAACACAACACAAAAGCAGTCTGGCAGTTCAACATGTCTGAAAACCAGCGTAGTACAATGGTTCTAGTAATGGCTGGCTCTGGAGAGACCCAGGTTCAAATGTTCACTTGGCCATGACATTCACTGGGTAACTGACCCTTGGCCTAACCTACCTCAGGCTGTTGTGAAGATAAAATGAAAAGAAGGAAAACCTTGTAAGCCACTTTGGACTCCTTATGAAAGGGGAAAAAGGTGAGATATAAATGTAATAACGAATACAAATAAATACAATGTCCTGCACCTTGGGACTGCCTGTCTTGCTATGAACCTGTCCAGGAATTAAGATCTGCAGGAGGGAAGTGTATTGCTTCCAAACTATGAAATGTATATTACGTCAAGAACAATGTTTGGCTCCCTCTCACTCAGCTTTCAGAAAGGGTGTAAAGATGCATCTTTGCAATTTAGCCTCTTAAAACATATAAATTTGATATTTGTAATCACATTTTTTGCTTTCATTGTTTTGCTGTTGTAAATTTGTATAGACAGCCTTGATGGCTAGTGTTGGGAAAATTTGGGTAAATCCTGTCTGAAAAGCATTACTCCTGTGTGCCTTTGCATTTGTGGGATCAAATCCTGTCTTCCTTCTCAAAACCAAGCTATCACTGTTTAAAATGGCATTCCCCTGCCCCTGGCTATGGGGCAAGAGCAGACAGAAAGAATTGGAGGTCCTCATTCAGTTAAATTCATTCACATTGTAGCTAGCTAATCTCTTTTGGAATTTGCCGCTTGACAAGAAGTAGCTATTTGTTATACTTTACTCAGGGTCTCAGACTTCCTGAATGTAATACAAGAACTAACGATAGCCCAAATTTACATATCTAAGTAGACCCGGAGGTGGATCCACGCCTCTGGAAATTACTCCACTGATATGTCAAAAATCGCCTTGTGAGATAGTGTAATCTTATTGTCTGTATGGTTGACTGACATTCCTGTATTTTTTCTTCATATGCTGATCACCGAACTTTATTGTAATACAGGTATTCTGTCCTTAATGGCTCTGTACGGGTGTACGTGACTGAGAGAGTATAAAAACTGCTGGTAGATGAATTAAAGCTTTGCAGCGAGTTCATCTCTGCTAGACCGGTAATGCGTTATCGTGAGTCAACCGCGGGAACCTGGGATAGACAATAAAGACATGGAGGTTCATAACGACTGATCTTTCCTATGACCCCGAGTTTTATTTCCTCTTCTCAAATTGAGATTCCGGGATTCTGACACTAGCAGATAAGGTGATATATATAGCCTAATAATAAGTAGATTGTGCACCTGTTATTTTAGTATACATGGGAAACACATGTTTTCAAAACTGAAGTGATAAAAAAGCAAACAGAAGAATCACTTCCCAGCTGCCAGGTGGTTATTTAACTCTTTGCCTGAGAGTTGCTTGGTCTTGCCCATTTTGCTCTTTCAGGCTGTTGTTCCCTCTCTGGACAGTGTTTACAACAGGGTAAACAGTTATTAGGAAGGTGTAACAAGAGATGGGATACTTAATGACTGGTCAGTGAGGTGTCCCAAAGGGAAGAACAGTTGCAGTCTGACTACATGTTAAGACAAGTATCATTTCAGTGAATTGGCTGCTGTTTCTTTAAGATATTGTCTCCGTAGTTAAGTTTCCTGTTAATGGTTTGTAGGAAGGCACAGAAAGCACACATTTCTAGGATATGTTATCCATTACTCAATATTTCTGAAGTAATATACTGATCCACCCAGCAAAGAAGCCCATCCGATCACAAAAGAAACGTATGGCTGTCAGAATCTCAATCTGAGAAGAGGAAATAAAACTCGGGGTCGTAGGAAAGATCAATCGTTATGAACCTCCGCGTCTTTATTGTCTATCCCAGGTTCCCGCGGTTGACTCATGATAATGCAGGCTGCATTACCGGGCAGGCAGAGATGAACTCTGCTGCAAAGCTTCAATACCACTACAGGGCATTTATAGGTACACAGGTACAGGGCAACTGATGACAGAATGCAGATTACAATAAGATTCTGAGGTCACCACATACAGAACAGATAAAGAAATGTCAGTCAATCACACTGTAACAATGAGATTAGTATTGACACTTTAGTTGACACTATGAATAACTTGAACCCATTTCCAGGTCTGCTCAGACATGCAAATTCAAGCTACTAGAAACTATTCATGATAAGCTCAGACCCTTATCTCGACTCTAAACATTCTGCATGATCAGGGCTATCAAAAGATTATTGTAAACTGAATTCCAACAATGACTATTTACAATGTATATTTGGACTAAAATGGCCTGTCTACTGTAGCTTACAGCTAAAGGTGAGAGAAAGGAGCAGGGGAGGAATGCCATTTTAAACAATGACAGCTTGGTTTTGAGAAGGAAGACAGGATTTGATCCCACAATGCAAACGCACACAGGAGTAATGCTTTTCAGACAGGATTTACCCAAATTTTCCCAACACGGCACAACATACATTAAGTGCTGATTCGATCACACCCTTCTTCCTCTTCCTCATACTTTTTGCAAAAGCAAAAAAAAAAAAAAGGGGGGGGTAATTATAAACCCCTGGTAACCAGCATTTAATTTGAGATTTATATAATATTAAGTGGAAGCTGGACTCCAAACTTACTTACAAATATAAATATAAGTATGGCATATTTCTGTGTTGTTCTTCATAATGATCAGGAAACTGCAGTAACTGAGAATTACATTGCTAAGTTGGGGGTGGGGTGCTGATAACGCACCAACTTTTGTCACGTCTTCTGATTTTCAGTGCTTTTCAACTGACAACTCAGCAATTGGTCCCAGGCAACTGTGTGAAAATTACCAAATATAGTAAGTTTTGTCATTTCAAGTTTTTAAATCTTTCCTACCTCCTAGCAGCCTCAGACAGCTGAATCATACAAGGAATTTGACCACTAAAGGTTATATATATTGCACACCCAAGAGCACACTTGTAAAAGGTTGAAAAGAGAAGAATTAAGACATTTTGTGCAATTTTCTGGAATCATTTTTTAAAGGGTGACAAACCAGTTAGGGTCACTCCAAAGTGTCATGTGAAAGGGCTGCCACTACTTGTGGCAATGGTGAGAATGCGAAAGTGGCTCACTAGCTGATTTCCACCACTCGTGATCAAATTGTTCTCTTCCATTTGGATGACATGACAACATATAATGGATTGCACAATCCCTCAGGTGAGCTATGTTCATCAGCTATCCTGGAGAAGCGGTTTGGTCTGAATGGCACAACAGCCCACCATGACTAGTTACCCTCACAGATAAGGTTCACATGACATGCTAAGCCACTGTGGCATCTAAATTCGGCCTGCTTCCTGCAGGGTGGTTCAGGGAGCAGCTCCAACGCCCTAACAAGAAGTCATGACTTGTTCGAGAGTTACCAAACTCTTTGTGGTTCAGCACGTCATCTGACACCAGACAAGTGCAAAATCTACAGAGCTGATGACAGCTGCTTGAAGTGTCCAAGTGGCACTGCTAAAATCAAAGAGGGGCAGATGAAAAGCTTAGGAAGACTGAAAATCTGAATATTTAAAACAGGCCTCCGGGTGTAGATGAAAATCACCACTTAAACTTTTTGCTCGGTATATACATATTAAAGATAAAGCCATTTTCTGTAACGATGAGGAATAGTTGCTGTGTTATAAGGGTGCTCAAATGGATTTCTGTTTCTCCTGCTTCTAGTGTAGTACTTTAGCAAAACCTGAAAGCTTGAACAATTAGAGTTCCTTGATCATGCAAAATCAATGGTGAAAATGAGTACTATGATCATTATATTCCAGTGGACAGAAATTTTTTTTCTCTATGAGTTTTTGCCAAGGTAACGGGTTTATTCCAAGGAACTGTGCTCCAAAACTGCTAATGCCTCAAACACATTTACTTATGATTTTAAAATAAAGGGGAAATTAACAATTGTGTTAATTAACATAATAACTATCAGAACATGATAAATTAATGAATTAAAGTAATATTTAAACACAGAAAAAATGACATAGAAAACAATGGTTTTGATTTCAGAGATCCAACATATCAACATACAAGGAAAAAGTCAAAAAATCATTCACGAAGAGATGGTGGCCATTTACCAGGACTCTGCACCTTCATTATCTACTGTTCAAAAGTTTATTTGGAGAAGGAACCCTCCCAAGAATACTTAAGAAAATATAGTATAAATGAAGAAGAAAAGGAAGTCCAAAATATTAAATTCCCTCAACTCACCAAGTTTGTAGACATTCAGTGGTCTCTTGAAAAGTGCCATCTCAGTTTAAAACCTCATCCTACCAGCAGTCAAATGCTGATGTTAATCCTGCATCTGCAAGTATAACAAACATCATTATTTCAGATAACAATGTTACCAGGAATGGTTAACATTAAAGCACAATGTAATTTCCCCAGGCAGCTTTTAAGGAAGTACAAGGTTGTATAAAGGCCATATCCAACTGTGTCCTTCCATTCCCGGAAGTCCCTTTGATCTAGCAGAGGCTTCTGAGGGGGTGGGTGGGAGAGCGCAGTGGGATGATATTCACTGGTTCCACTTTCCCCTGTAGTTCCATGTTGGGGAACATTCTGGAACAGTGTAACCTGTGGCACTGCGGGGGGGGGGGGGGGGAGAAAGAAGGAATTTTCGCAAATCATCTCCCTCCTCCTTCCACTGATAGAAGCTGCCACAGGATCCAAGAGTGGATAACAGGGCACAGGCGGGGATGTTCTACTGTGTATCAGCCATAGCCTGTTATTATTGCACACTGCTTCTTCAAATCAAAGATCAACAAGGTATTTAGTAGTTTTTTGGTCCATTCCCTTCCTAAGTTCGAGGTGGATATAGCCTGAAGCACTTGTGTAAAATCTAATAAAGCCAGAGAATATGGAATTGGCTTTATCATTAAAGCCAATTTTAGAACTCTGGTTGAAGCTGTGATTAAAACAGACCAGGCATGCATTCATTCAGGATGGCCCTGACAAGAAGGCACATAGCAAGCTGTTGCTGAAGCATGGCACGCCTTGAATCGCACATCATCATGCAATTCATGGGATATGCCCCACAATTAAAATATAGAAAAGTGGCAAAACGCACCATTCCATCTACCCCAGATCTGCCCTCTCAGGATAAACACTGGTCCGTGTAGTTTTATGTTGGCTGAGCACATGCACAGTTCTCTCATAGTGTAATCCTAAGAATAAGGAGGATATCCCATGGAAACCAGAAGGCTTGCTTCCAAATAAACAGGTTGGATTGCACTGGATGGGATTCAGATTTAGGTTGTTTCCTGACACAGGGCTCCTAATTAGAAAGTGTTATGCAGTTATTACATCTTTTTTCATGTTAATGGATCTTCTGCAGGAAGAAAAAATGGTGGAATAAGCAGTGGAAAAACAGGTTACAAGTGGTATATGCTGCCATATGGATTCCTGCTAAAATTCTATGAACAAGGTGGGGGATAGCACAATAAAAGTGTCATCTGGAAGCACCTAAAGAAAGTCCATTGTAATCCGCTGTAATCCATACTGTGGCTAATTTAGTATTTCTAACTTGATTTCAGTGTGATTGCAGGTCCCCCCCCCCCAAGAACCATCTTGTTCTATCTATCTATTCTATCTATGTTTCTATAGATAGGCTGGGCATGCACACGGTGGCCATGTCGTGAACGGAGCCAGCTAGTGCCAGAGGTCAGACTAGATGGCCTGGGAGGTCCCTTCTGACTCACTCTGTTTCTATGTTTGTTTGAAAAATAGAATAGCTCTGTCTTATATTTACTTTTAGAACAATGTAAGGAATATTTAAGACAAAGTAAATACTTGTCTACCCTGTTTGTCTACTTCATAAATATTTGCTATCCTGTTTTTATATCCCACAAATAACTTCTAAAAGCTATGTAATAAATGTTTTATACAAAGAGTAGTAAAATAAAATAAATTGAAATAAAAAGCCATTGGGGAGCACTCAATAAATAAGTAAATACATATTATTTAAAACTCTACAGTTTCCCCCTTTGACTCAGAATTGGTGTCACTAGCAATAGCTTTTTCCAGGTCTCCCAGAAACAAGCTACTCAGACCATAACCAGTGGGTGACAAGCACATTTGAAGGAGGATGGTTTATTTCCCCATTGTGATTGTGTAAGCCCAATCACAGAGAGCACATGCTTTGCAGGAACAAGGTCTCAGTGTCATTGACAGAACATATTTCTTGTATGAGAATTTTGTTCATTTGCAAATGTGTAACATGTAGAAGTGCATAAATCCCCCATAAAAATAAAAAACTGGTCTGCAAATCCATAGAATGCATGTAACTCAGAAAAAGTCAGTCTTTTGTAGAATGCAAAGGCTGAATTCAGAGTAATCCAATCTCACTTGAATCCACTGCAGATTTCTGACATACTAGAAGTGGCAAGAAGTTAATAGTAGATGAAGGAAGTTTTACACCTCTGGAAAATGTAAGTGTCCAGGTGAGTGAAACATGAAGTGGGTGGAAAACCTTTCTGAATTAGTATTTATCCATTCTGTTTTATATTTTTACATCCAGCCCACATTTTTCAAGGTGGTTTCAAAGAAAATGAATGCTTTTTTGGTATGATTTCGGTAAAACTTCAGAATTGGAGAATTGTTAGTATGTGGCAAGCCCTTTCACAGCTCCTTTTCCTGTGTGCTAATTCAAGCCAATCTGAACCACAGGTAAGCCACACTTGCTTGATTCAAGTGCCACCTCCTGACAGGGGTGACTGAACTGATACCAGAATCACAGTGATCAGCACCACAACATATTCTGCACAGCGGTGCATTCTGCCACTGAAAATCCCACTTCCCCCTCATTTGCATAACCTACAGCCACCCCATCACTGCATCCTGGCACATGATCTGCCTCTGTTTCAGCTGTACTGCTAGCTAGCTGCTATGACAGACACAGTTCCTGGAAATCGCCCGGAACTGCTTACCTGTCTGATGTACAAATGCCTAATTGGCAGGCTTGTCTGGTAATCTGAGTGACCTGGACCACCGGAGCACCAGATTCTAAATGTCCATCTAATGTGGAGCCATAGGAGGCTGCCTTATATTCAGTCTTTCTAGTTCAGAATGGAGGACTCTGCTCAGTGGCAGTTCTCCAGATCCAGGCAGGATTCCTTCATTCTCCCACTACCAGGTGCATGGAAAGCATGCACTCTTACCACAGTCCCTTCATCCAAGCAGTTTCTTTCTCAGTGAACCAGTGGCCAGTTCTCTGGTTATATGTTGTATAATAGATCAAAGGACACAACAAATTAACTGAATGCCAAAGCTTATTTTTTAAGTGACAGTACAATAACCTTAATGCTGGGCACAATAGATGATACTTCAATTGGTTCAAAATAGAGCTGCCAGGCTGCTGACGGGGACTGGGCGTTATGTTCACATGACTCCAGTTCTCCGTCAGCTTCACTGGCTTCCCATTGAAGTCCAGGCCCAATTCAAGGTGTTGGTGATGACCTATAAAGCCCTAAACGGCTTGGGTCTTGGTTACCTGAAGGAGCGCTTACGTCCATATACGCCCGCCCGCCCCTTGAGATCTGCGGGAGAGGCCCTTCTCCGGGAACCCTCCGTGAAAGAAATCAGGAGGGTGGGTACTCGGAGGAGGGCTTTCTCTGCACTGGCGCCCAATTTATGGAATGCGCTCCCCAGAGAGTTCTGCCTGGCGCCGTCGTTATTTGTTTTTCGGCGCCAGGTGAAGACCTTTTTATTTAAGCGGCATTTTAATTGTTAATATTATTGGATTTTATCTGGCCAGGGTGACTTTTTTTATATTGTTATTTTTTGCATTTTAACTTAATGTTTGTATTTTACAAACATTTTAATTTAATGGTGTAATTTAATGTTTGTATTTTTTTAACTTAATGTTGTAAGCCGCCCCGAGGCTCTGGCGAATGGGGCGGCATAAAAATGTTTTAATAAATAAATCAATAAATAAAAGAAGAAGGGGACAGCAGAGAATGAGGTGGCTAGACGGAGTCTCTGAAGCAGTCGGCCTGAGCTTGGGTGGACTCCAGGGGATGGTGGAGGACAGGAAGGCCTGGAGGAGTGTTGTCCATGGGGTCACAATGGGTCGGACACGACTTCACGACTAACAACAACAACAACAACACAATAACCTTGGCACAAAGTTAAATGTTTATAAATGTCTCATTGTTTGAGGATAGAGGCAGAGTGAGCAATCTTAGCTCAGGGACCTAAAAATAAGAACAAAAATGAAAAGCACAATTTCCTTCTTGTCACGTGAGGCACGTGAGGATGTGGCCAGCACCGGCTGCAGAATGCCTGCTTGTGAATAAGCATGTTCTGGTTGCTGCGTCCAGTTGTCTTTCTCGTTGAAAGGTTAATAACTCTCTGGCAACGGTCTCTTTCCTTTAATATTAGCAGCATGCTTCTTCCCTGCAGAGAGGGCAATTCACCCAGCAGCACTTTTTGCAAGACCAGCACAAACAAGTTCCTCGCACTCAGGCACACTGAAATCCAGAGGTACAAGTCTGGCTAGTGGCACAAAGTCCGCTGGTCTACTGGCGACTCTCGGCAGCCTGAACCAAGCTTACTGCCACCGCGCACGCGCAGAAACGCGAAGAGATGATCCCGGGTCTGGCCTGCCCGTCAACCTTTCCTCTCCGGGAGAACACCTGAGCCCCACAAGAGCGCGGGGAGATGCGCGAGCGGCTCCTGTCCTTGACAGGGCGCCAAGGGAAGCCTCTTGGCTGGGCTGCGGAGCTGGCGAGGACGTGCTCGCGCCCTCCCAGCTTCGCACGACAAGGATCCCCGCATCCAGCCCGCGGACCTGGCTCTCTCTGTCCCTAGCCCGACCTCTCCTTCGCAGGCGGCGCGCCCTGCCCCGTTCCCAGCATACCTGGATGCTGGCCAGCGCTCTCTTGGGAACTCGGAGCCCATCTGCGCCCGGCCTGTGCACGGCAAGCCCAGCGCCTGCCTTCTGCCTTCAGGGCGAGCGCAGCATCCTTCGGGTTAGCAGCGGCGGCTTCTGCTGTCCCAAAAACGAAAGCAAAAGGCCCGGGGCGGACCGGGGGAATGGGCGGGTCTTGCCTTCGTTGCCGGGGTCACACCGGCGGTGGGTGAAGAAGGGAGCTCGTTGGGGCCTGGCTGCAAGAAGGAAGTGAAGCTTGCGCTTTTCCCCGGAAAATACCCCCCCTAATCCCCCCCCGCATCCGCTACTTCTCTCTCCCCGGATGAGGCAAGGGAGGCTTTACACAGCGCTACTTTGACAAACAAACCCGCTGTCTGTCAGCAAAATAGGAACTATTTACCGTCACTCTTGTTCCCCTGCACCTATGCAATCTTATAGATGTCAGCAGAAAAATAAGCCCGCTCCACTGAGTTGGGTGACAGGAGAGTAAATACAAGATTGTGGTCTAAAGTTGGATCAGAGATGGATCATATTGAATTTGAATGGTTTCTTAACAGATTGCACCTCCAAATCACAGAATGCCTTTGTATGTCCTCCACAACCCCAGCATATCCCCACACCCAAAATAAAATCATTAGAACCATAAACATGTCACACCCAGTGTTTTCCAGCATCACCCTTGTGCAAAAAATATGGATGCTCATAATTATTTTAAAGTGGCATGTCACCCGGACCACTGTCAAATCACACCTTCTCCCACAAACTGAACCATAAAAATCATGGATCCTGTACTTCACAGTGCTGCCATGGTGCAGAAACATGGATTATGCATTCATGTGATTTTAAAATGTAATGCCCTGAAAAACTATAGCCAAATCATAGATGATATCTGAGCCCAGAAATGAAGTAAAAAAATCTTGTACCTGGTGATACACAGCACCTGCTGCATGATGCAAAACATGGATCTAGTACACAGACTCTTTGAATTCTCCAAATAGCACCATCGGATTGCAAATCACATCTGTCCCCCACAAATTGCACCATAATAGTCATGTATTTGGTGTTTCATGCTGCTGTTATGGCACAAACATGGATCTGAAGCACAGTTCCCTATTGATTCCCAGGTTTTTAAAATAGGGCTAAAATACTTCATTGGTATACCTATTGCATATTCTTGTTATGTGCTTTCAACTCATTTCCAACTTGCAGCGAACCTAAGAATGAAAACCCTCCAAAATGCCCTGTCCATGACAACTCCGCTCAGCTCTCCCAAGTTCAAGGCTGTGGCTTCCTTTCTGGGTTCACTCTGTCTCATATTTGGTTTTCCCATTTTCTTTTTGCTGATGTGACAGATACTCCTGGGGAGGATGGATGCATCTTAGTCTGGTGGCTCAGCCTTGACCATTCCTGCTAGGAGACCAGCTTAATGAGACTGTTCTGACCTCCTGACCCCATTGCTCTCTTTGACATGCTCAGCCCCCTCCCCACATTATGCCATGCATCCAAGAGGGAGATACATGCATTGCATTATCAGCTTATGTCAAGCACTTTCTTTAATATCCTCTTCAACGGCTTTTACAAGTTTAATTGATTGGTGCTACACAGTGTGATCCTTTCCTCCTCCCTATGAGTCCATTCAGTTGAAAGGGGTTAGGAGTGCTTAATTTTGTATTTTAATTTTATTATTTTATTAAGAGCAATTTGCAGCCTTCCAGACATTTTCGTCTAGTCAGCATAGCCAATGGTGAGGGATAATGGGAATTGTAGGCCAAACGTTTGGTGGGTCACAAGTTACCCTCTCCTGCTGTATACAGTTAGGATGCAAGCCCTTCAAATTAGCTGCCTATTACTTATGGAAATGCATTGTTTTCACAAAGGCTTTCCCTGGCCCTTAAACTATGCTGTTTTATTTTACTATTCCTGTACTGCTCTGTATTATTATTCTTAGCTCATTATTGTGTGGTAATGTTTTACAAATTAGATTTTAAATGTGAATTTAATTATGATTATGGAAACTGCTTAGGGATTTTAGAAATACTTAAATATTTAGCAGTAAAAAGGTAAAGGTTTCCCCTTGACGTTATGTCCAGTCATGTCTGACTCTAGGGGGCAGTGCTCATCTCCGTTTCCTAGCCGAGGGAGCCAGTGTTTGTCCGCAGACAGTCTCCCTGGTCATGTGGCCAGCATGACTAAACATCGAAGTGCACGGAATGCTGTTACCTGCCCACCGAAGTGGTACCTTCTTATCTACTTGCATTTACATGCTTTCGAACTACAAGATTGGCAGGAGCTGGGACGGAGCAACGGGGACTCACCCCATTGTGCAGACTCAAACCGGCAACCTTTCGATCAACCAGCCCAGCAGCACATTGGTTTAAACCACTGCGCCACCTGCAGTCTATTTCGCAGTATATAGTACAAATAAATGCATAAAATTGATTTATGAAAGACATGGATCCATAAGGAAACATTTGAGAATAAAGAAAGAGAAAAGCATACTTGTAAAACTGAAACAGAATGAATTGGCGAGCAAAATAAACAGCAGCAGCAATAGTACTAGTAACAGCCACCCACACATGAGACTATGTCGTTCATCTGCATGTAGAGGTTTGGAGCAAGAGAAAGTGCTATTCCAGGGTGGTGGTGATGGTGCATGTGAATTGAAAAGAAGAAGGGGATGGCAGAGAAAGCCTGGAAGAATGTTGTCCATGAGGTCGCCATGGGTCGGACATGACTTCACGACTAACAACAACAACAATGCCACTCTATACTCAGAAGTGTCTCTGGATGGCTCAGATTGCAGTCATAACAATGATACAGATAAAAATAGATAACAACAACAATAAAAGCATAATACATAAATAATGCTATATAAAATACAATAGGAGGATATGCACAATAGAAACAAGAAAACACTAAAATAATAAACTAACAGCAAGACCAATAAATTATAATCTAAAAGCAAATACTAAAATAAAAAGTCTTAACTGGCGCTCTGCTCCTCCGGGACCAGCCCTGGCTTCATGGGCAGGATCACCGCGCCAGGCCTGGACTACACGCGCCAGGTGGCCGTGGCGGACCTGTGGGAGAAGCTGGCCAGGCTGGCGCTGCGGGACTTCTCGGGCTCCTTCCACGTCAGCGTTCTCAGGCAGGTGAACTACCGCTTCGGCAGGTTGACCATCCAGAGCTTCCAGCTGCCAAACTCGGCAGTGGCACCGGTCCCCGGTGTGGGCCTCCGGCTCTCCATCACCAACGCTTTTACTTCGCTGACGGGCAAGTGGAAGGTGCAGAAGAGATGGCTGAGGGACAGTGGCTCCTTCGACCTGAAGGTCGAGCGCATCTCCATCTCCGTGACCCTCAGGCTGGGCAGCGGCCCTGCTGGGCGGCCGACCGTCTCCACCTCGGATGCAGCGCCCGCATTTCTGACGTCGACGTGCATATTTCTGGCAGGTTCGGCTGGCTGTACAACCTCTTCCACAGAAGCATCGAGTCAGCCTTCCAAAGGGCCATGGAAGGCCAGGTCTGTGAAGAGGTGCGCAGTTCGGTGAGCAGCAAGCTGCAGCCCTTTCTTCACACTCTGCCAGGTGAGGGCACCTCATGCAGGACAGGCAACTGGCTGATTGCCAGCTGAGAGCCAGGGTGGCGTCGTGGTGAAGAGCACGGGACCGGGACTCAGGCGATCCGGGTTCGAGTCCCCGCTCGGCCATGGAGCCAACTGGGTGGCTTTGGGCCAGTCACAGACTCTCAGCCCAACCTACCTCACAGGGTTGTTGTTGTTGTGGGGATAAGATGGAGGAGGAGAATGATGTAAGCTGCCTTGAGCCCTTTGAGGAAAAAGGCAGGATATAAATTGAAAATAAAAATAAAAATAAAAAATAACATGGGCTTCAAGGAAAATAATGTGGTGCCAGTCACACCTCTCTCAGAATGGAATTGCAAAGGTGAGGTGCGATGACAGAGAAGGCCCTTTTCCTCACTAATACTAATGAAAATCTAAGGCATTTAGGAAGGAAGATACCACATTTCTAATTCCTTTTCTCACTGTTACATCTGGGGGAGATCTATGCTAGATCCGCTTCTATTGATGAGGGAACACAGTTGCGGTATTTATTCAAAGCACATAAATCACAGATGGGGCACATGCCAATGAACACAACAAGGCTGAAGATGCAAGCTTGTGTCACAAATACAAGTACCCAAGGAGCTGGAAACTGGATGTACGCAGGGAAACGGCCTGTTAAAGTTACTTTATTTTTGTGCTTTTAAAAAATCTCAATTAGCTATGTAAAAGAGTGCATATATTTTAAAAAGTGTGTAGGGGAGAAAGGGTGCAGCTATTTCCTCCTGTCCTCCCAAATCTCACAGAGTGAAGCCCCTGGGATGAGGACTCCAATCCCCTTCACCCAAAAGCAAGCAAGTGTAGCTTTCTTACAAATTAGCTCCATTGCAGTAAACGTGATTTAGTTGTTAGTATGGCCATTGAAGAGAACCTGATGTACTTATGTATGACAAACATCCTTAAGTAAGGAGGGCAAAGGAAATAATTGCGAAAGCTTGAAAAGACATCGCAAAGGTTATTTTTCAAAGAAAGGGGAAGAAGAAGAAATATCTTATGAGGCTTGGGCACAAACTCTCAGATCCTGCAGCAGCTCTCCCACCTCCCTTGTCCCTTGCCTCTCCCTGCTAATTTACAAATGCCCCCCCTCCCCTCCCCTCCTGCCCATCGGCTGACTGAAACCATCCTGCCTGGTTCCAGAGCAGTAATGCATGTTCAGGACATGAGGATATGCATTTGGGGACAAAACCGCAACATATGCAGAGGCTGTGATATGGCAGGTCTCCAGGTATCTTGGCTCTGTTGGCATGAACAGTCAAGGAGGAAGGGTTGGGGTGATGACCACTGTGTCAGGCACTAAAATACCTGCCCAACACTGTAAAAAGTCTTACTTCTGATCAGCAGCTGATCAAAGATCCTCAGGCCTCTACCATGGTTTTCTAGGTTTGTAGAGGCTTGGAAGCTCAAAGCATGTTGTGGGTTATCACTGGAACTGACCCTCACCAGACCTCTGGTCTTCTCTCCCAAAATAATCACCTTAAGGAAAAAATGGAGTGGCACCCATGTATATGTATTATTAAACATTCTTTGAGTCCTGCTACATTTCCACCATAAACTGTGCCTTACCCTACAAAAAGGGAATTGCTGTGGTGAGTTATACATGTCTGCATGTGGTTAGAGTGTGTTTCGGTCAGTCCGAGAGGAGATCAACCCTGACTGCTCTTTAGAAGGCCAGATCCTGAAGATGAAACTCAACTACTTTGGCCACCTAATGAAAAGGAAGGACTCCCTGGAGAAGAGCCTAATGCTGGGAACAGTAGATGGCAAAAGAAGAAGGGGACAGCAGAGGATGAGGTGGCTAGATGGAGTCACTGAGGCAGTTGGTGTGAGCTTAGGTGGACTCCGGGGGATGGTGGAGGACAGGAAGGCCTGGAGGAATGTGGTCCAAGGGGTCGCGATGGGTCGGACACGACTTCGCGACTAACAACAACAAGACTGTGTTAAGAAATCTGATTTCCAGTTATTGCCTAAGTATGTTGTGGCCTGTAGGTGGCACTGTTTCACTAGTTTTCCCTCAGGAACCCGCTACAGAGAAGATTAGTTTACTAAAGAAAGGATTCCTAAATACATGTACATGATAAATGAATTTTTGTTAATGCTGGTTTTTACTTTATTTACCTGTTTATAACATTAAAACAAAATAAATAAAAGTAAAGAAGAACAGCTAAGAATAAGATCAAGATAAAACCAAGGGCAAAGAATAAAACCATATCAGCTCATAAAATCAAATTAAAACCAGCAGCAGAATAAAATGTGAAAAGAACTTAAAATTCCCCAGTTTTGAAAATGCCTGAGAAATTAAAAAATGGTGCTACTTGGTTTAGATATCCTTTGAAATCCCAAATATCCTGGGCTGCCTGAGGGAGTTTCTTATATATATATAAACCTTACCATATCTTCCGGAATGAATGAAGGTCAGGGTGAGATAAAAGATAAACAAATGTGTCCATTTCAGTTTCTCTCATTTTTCTAATCTTAAAATCTGCATGATCTGTTTCAACATCAAGCTGAAATTAAACATAAAAGTTTGCATGAAAAAATATACTTGAGTTTATGCACATTTTTCATATATGGATTTCAGCTATATACGTTTTTATTGTGTATCAATTAATGTTAAATGTGTGTGTGTGTTAAATTGTTGGCTGGGAAATGCTTAGAGGTGTATGACTCTTTTCAGTCTAAATATGCATAGGCACATAATTATTTATTATATTTATATCCTGTCCTTTTCCTTCCAAGTTTTCTCTTCTTTCTCCTCTCAATCTGATCCTCACAGCAGCAACCCTGTGAGGTAGGTTGGTCTGAAAATCTGTGACTGTCACAAAGTCACTTAGCTGGCTCCATGTCTGAGTGGGGACAAGAACTCAGATTGCCCTAGTCCCAGTCCCACACTCTTAATCACTACACCACACTAGCTCTCAAGTATCAAGTGTTGTACTTGTTTTCAGTTTGTGAAATTGGCTTTTAGCAACTTCACACAGCACAATAACCCACACTCAGAGGCTGAGTATGGATTGAACATAGGCTGAACATGGGTTGTTGTTTAGCTATGGGTTGTTATTGAATTGTTATCTGAACCCAGGTAATGGTTTCTTAATCACAAACAAACCTATGAAGAGAACTCATAGTTTATCACTGGGTTGCAAACTGTGTGCTGTTCACTGTGGTTTGTTATCTTAGCTGGGTTCAGACAACATGATAACCCATGTCTCAATAACAACCCATGGCTCAACCATAACCCACTCTCAACTCATACTCAACCCTTGAGTGTGGGTATTGTGTTGCCTGAATCTAGTCAATATGTTTTATTGACTTTAGAGGTAATTACTCCCAGATAAGTGCCTGCAGTATTGCGGCCATAGACTTTATTAACACTGAGATTTGAATGACTGAATTGTGTGCCACAATTTCTTGTTTTTGGTTTATCTTCCCTTGGTAAATCTGTTTTTCCTTTATACAACCTGTTATCTGTCCACTTTCGAGGCTGCTTACATGCATTGGATACAGTAAGCTGTAGCCTACAGAAGCATTTGCCAATATAAACTGGGGAGTTTTGAAGGTGCTGTGGGATTCTTTGTTTCTGTTTCTGTGTTGGTTGTTTTGTTTTTAGAAGTAAGCACTAACTCAATTATCCTGCTGGAATGTGTTATTTGGTGACAGGATTAAGGAGGCAAGTAACAGTGTGCAGGGCCATTAGTTTCAGATTTTTTCCAAGGCATTTAAACATAGGAAACATTATATGTATCAGCTGGGATTTCACCTTCTGTAGTTTTCAAGTTCAGGTTGTCCCCCTAAGGATTAATCAATACTGATAGCAATTATTCTTAGTATACAGACCAAATGAAAGGATTGATTTCTCTTCCTAGTTCTTTTTCTTCTTCTTCCGAAGCATAACAATAAGTCACTGGATCTAAAACTCCCACACAAATAAATCCCTTCTGTTCTCCAACAGTCAGTCTACCTAATAACTGCAACTATTTTACATGGGACTTTCTTTGTACAGTTCTGGAGAACACTCCACTAATGATGCCTTTACTAAAGTTTTTCAATAAGAAGATGCAGGATGCACATTTAGAAGAAAACTGTTTTGGACCACAGGCAAGAGAACTAAGAAGCCCCCCAAGGTCATCATAAAACAATTTTGCAGAGCATGGCATTATGGTTACTCTTCCAGACCTTCTCTGTGCATTTCTGATTCAATCCCTGGAAGGTGGGGAGGCTCTCCCAGCATATAATTGATCAACAACATCATGGAGGCAAGGACACATCTTTTTGCTGTACAAATTCACTGAGTTACTCAGGAGGATCTTTGCTTGGGTTGACCCCAGGCTTGAGGTAGTGCTTGGCATGGGGCTATTGATGCTGATCTGGACCCCTGTGCTATGAGGCTGACGCCCCCACCATTCCCACTGGGCCTCTGTCTCTCTCCATTGACATTGAGCCATTGGGCTTCTCTGGCCACTTTTTGGGTGGCAGCTAAGTGGTCACTTGACTCCAATTGAAGCTGAGAAGCTGCCATTTTATGTCTCCCAAAATGCAATACCCATCACATACTCCATACTACATTTGGGGAGATAGAAGATGGCGGCTGATGGTGGCTCATACCCACCTCAGATCAGTACTGAGGAGAGAGATCAGGTAGGCAAGCAAGGAGCAGTACAAGTAGGACCTACAACTGATGGCAACGATTGGCTGACTTGGAAGAGTTTTACAAAACCTATTGCTTCTAAAGGGCAATGCTCACAATCTTTTCAGAATGTGATACCTGTAAAATAAATCCTGCTGGTGGACACTTAGCCACTACTAGCTAGTCAAGTCATCCATCAACACCCATGTGCAAGGTTTAGCTTTAGGACACTGCTGTTAGCCTGCATTTAGGATGGTGTGTGGTGTTTCTTCCCTGCAGCAAGAGTTCTTTAACATTCCTTATGTTTGGACTGATGCACAGATGCATGGTTGTGGGAACAATGCTAGAACTCTGTGGAAAGTTGTTCTACCTAGTTTAAAAAACAATA